TTTCTTCCCCTTCAGGGACTCTATCACAAGTACATAAGACATTTCAAATGAATTCACGGTTCATTGATGCTTTGTTCATTCTTTATAACTGTTCTAATGTCTTTGCTACTCATTCTGTCAACTGCTTCATTTCTTGACCAGCTGCTCCCCATAAGCATACACTGGTCAGTTCTCTGCCGGGTTCTTCCATTGTGCAGCCCTCTGGCCACTGTGTCATCCTTATGCTCCAAGCTTCATCTCTGGATCTTAGGGAGATGGCTGGAGCCCGCCTCAGCTCTTCTCTCTACATTGCAGTGTCTCTTTAGACGGTAAACTGTGGCAATCATAGGGCCTACCTTGTTTGTTTCTCATGTCTCAGTGATCACTGTCCTTGGTTTCCTGATGTCTAGGGTCTTGAAAACTGTTGTTTCATATACTTTGTTCAGTGTTTCAGTTTATTCAGTTGGGAGGGAAAATCTGGTCTCTTTTACTCCATGTAGGCTGGAACCTGAAGTCAATAAGTATATCTCCAATTAATATAATTTCTTGAAAATATACTTGCATAGCAAGACTGGTCAAAGGTAAAGCCAGCTCGGCACAGTGGCTCATGCCTGTAATCCCAGCACTTTGGGAGGCCCAGGTGGGTGGATCTCCTGAGTTCAGGAGTTTGAGACCAGCCTGACCAACATGGTGAAACCCCATCTCTACTAAAAATACAAAAATTAGCCTGGCATGGTGGTGGGCGCCTGTATTCCCGACTACTTGGGAGGCTGAGGCAGGAAAATCCCTTGAACCCAGGAGGGCTTGGTTGCAGTGAGCTAAGATTGTGCCACTGCGCTCCTGGGCAACAAGCGCAAAACTCCGTCTCAAAAAGACAAAAAAAAGGTAAAGCCTTTGCTTCAACAGCATCATCTTTCATTCCACCCCAGAAGTGGAACCTCTCTTTCGTTTTATGATGACTCTGTTTTTGAATGAATAAAACAATTGGCAATGAGCCTATTTAAATTATTCCTGTTTTAAAATGATTGTAGATTTCATTATTTCATACTCTTTGTCAATTTTTTTTTTCCCAACACTGTCTTAGCTAATATTATTTCAAAAATCTTGTTTAGAGGAAGAGATTTGAAAACATAGTATAATAATCTAACCTTTGTTTGAGTTCAGAAGGAAAAAAGTATGTTAATCCTAATATTTCGGCAAAGAACATTTAATCTATACATTTTTAAAAAATAAAATGTACGTGTTCTTTCTGGTAATCTTACATTAAAACCATGGATATTTATGTCAGCCATTTGTGTAATATGCTAACATATATAATTTATTGATAAAGTCAGATTAATGATTCCTTTATGTGTCAAGCTTTATAAACCCTCTTAACTACTTTTTGCTGCTTTAGGAAGATGAATAGGCTTCCTAAGAGTAGAAGTTTACTCAGGTGGGCTAAAGAACATAAATTCTATTGACTCATACTGCAGGTAGAGAAACCAGCCCTTTCTTAAATGAGATTTTATTCTGTATGTTCTTTTATAGGTATGAATAGAAAAAGACTGTTATTCAAGGAATTATGCATAAAATATTTTCAGTTGAATTCTAATGGGTGGAGTTGATGTGCAGTTTGTCATGAAGAATATTTTTTATTGACAGATAATCTAGATAATGTGACCTTATGCTTAGCCCCTGCTTAACTTACTAAGCTTCTTGCCTGGTGTATATTTTACTTAATCTTTTAACAGAATGAACTTCCAAATGGACATAAGCATTTAGATATTTGACTAAGAGAGTTAAACAACAACATTTGATAATTAAATATTTCTAATAGTAGTATTTTAAAATATTTTAAAATTTGCTTGCTTTTAAAATACTTTTACTTTTTTACAGAAATAGAGGTTTTAAAATCTTTTATATTTGTCAAATGATTGCTGTTAAAGCTTTGAGTATTGTCAGTTTTTCTTAATTGTTGGTGCTTTTATTTTTTATTTTTTATTTTGTTTTGAGATGGAGTCTCGCTCTTTCGCCCAGGCTGGAGTTCAGTGGTGTGATCTTGGCTCATTACAAGCTCCACCTCCTGGATTCAGGCCATTTTCCTGCCTCAGCCTCCCGAGTAGCTGGGACTACAGGCGCCCGCCACCAGGCCCGGCTAGTTTTTTGTATTTTTAGTAGAGACGGGGTTTCACCGTGTTAGCCAGGATGGTCTCGATCGCCTGACCTCATGATCCGCCCGTCTCGGCCTCCCAAAGTGCTGGGATTACAGGCGTGAGCCACCGCGCCCGGCGCTTTTAATTTTAAAAGTACATTTTATAATCTATTGCCATGCCAGAAACCTCTCAGGCAGAATTTTAGAGAAGTTCTTTTTTAAAGTTTCTTGTGGTCCAGTCTTTATAGAAAAATTTCAGAATTGAAGAACTGTGTGTTGGTCAGAGTGATCTGTTAGTCAATCTGATTTTTAAAAATATTTAACACGATGATGTCTTGGAACTAGTTTTTATGAGGTAATATTTATCTAGTTATTCAGCGCACTATAGCAACAGGCTCCTGGGTTTCTGTTTATGAAGTCAACCTGAAATAGCCTGGAAACCAAAACAGCTGATGATAGAGACTATTCTTTGCCTAGATGTTCCGTATTAGGTCTCCACCCTGAGTCTCAAGATACCAAGTTGAATCCACTAAGAAGTTCTAGTGAAGCACTTTCCCGTTTTTCAAAACATACTTTCCATTCTTAGCATGATGGTGCGTTCAGCTTCTTGACTTCTCATTATGTGGTAGTGCTGTCACAACATGGGACACAGGCCGTGTCCGGGGGGGTTGGATTACCTACCGCAGAGCATCTACCAGTGGTGTCCAAAGTGGAGTTTGTGCATTTCCATGCATTCATAAAGTAAGTCGTTGGACTATGTGAAGAAACTATTAGAATTTGTATTTATATTTATTGTTATGATTTTTAAAGTCTTTGTTTTGTCTGTATATGTCATTGAATAGTATATATGTAGCTTATAAATAATTAAATACACATATACCGGGTATAGATGGTCAAATTTTGCTTTTACTAATGGTGGTATATGATCAAAAAAATTTCAAGAGCAGTTAAGACTCGTGTAGAGCATCTGGGCAAGGGTTTGATTCTGGGATCTCCCGTTTCCTCCGTCAGTGAGCTTCGTAGTGCATAAAATTTGGGTGTCTGCGTCTGTGGGTTTTTCTTTTGAGAAGATGCATAGCTCTCACCAGATTCTCAAAGGAGTCCTTGGCCCTAATGAGAAAATTACTTATCTGGGATCTCTGGGCTGCAGCCACTGAAGCTTGTTTTGGTAGGACTATATCTTGTTTAAAGATCACTTCCTAGGCTAAGTGAAATGGTGCTTTATTTCAAAAATAAAACTTACAATTAGATATGTATTTCCTTTAACAAAGTAAAGTTTTATTAATATGAATAGCTGAGAAACTGCAGCCAAGATTGTTGTCATCTTCTCATAACCATGTATGACAGATGCTGTGTACTCTTCCGGTGTCTGCATTAACCTTTTTAAAAAAGCTATTTTATTGTATGTTTTCATTAATTGTGTACCTTTAAAAAATATTTTGGTATATTATTGCCTTTCAATTTCAAACACATTTATCCTGGGTAGAAGTGGCTACAGAAGAGCTACTTTTGAGATCTCCTGTTTTTATGACAATGTGTATATTTGGGTTTTCTGTTGTCTCTCTAAGCCGCTTTTGTAGAGGCTATCTGTAGTAGATGATGCCATTGCATTGGAGTGAGGATGAGAGTTCAGTTCAAAGGTCAACTGATAATGTAAAATTGAGTATAGTCAATGTTATTCTTGAAATCACCCATAAAAATCCTTAAATCACCCTTAAAATATGAGGTACATAATTTTGTTTATACAATTTTATAGACAGTTATTATTTCTTCTCATTCTTTGTAGTTTAAATTTTATATGGCCCCCAAGTAGCTCTATCCTTTCTTCCTTGAAGAATGTTGAGATTCCCAGTATCTGTCACTTGACCAATGCCTGAGTGATGTGATTTATTTATCTATCAGTGGTCAGAAAAATCCTACCATTCATGTATTTTTTCCAATCAATACTGGACCTGACCATGTGCTCATTTAATAGAATGACTATTTAAACTATTTTTAAGTAAAAAGATTTCAAAAAATGTGTATAGATAAATTTAAGTAACTTCAATGCATATATTATGTCATCCTACTGTATTTCCTGCTTTGCCTTTTTACCCTACAAACCTATAAGCATTAAACTCAGATTAACAATTTTTTATGGAAGGAAATTATCTTATTTATTCATTTATATATTACATATTAAGTGTGTATAAGACATTATTCTGGACACTGGGATTATAGGGGTGAAACAAAGTTCCTGTTCTTACAGAACATGTATTCTAGTGGGGAAAACAGGCAATAGATAAGCCAAAAAGAAAAAAAAATTAGTTTATGTGTGCTATGAAGAGTCATAATTAGTATAGAAGGCCGTGGAAGGTCCAGCTGTTTTAGATAGGGGAGTCAGAGGTTTCCTCTCTGAGGAGATGGCATTTGCCCAGAGACCCGACTAAAGAGACGGGACGGGCAGTTCCTCCAGAGGGCAGCAGCAGAGGAGGCGTAAGGATGTTATGTTCTCAGGCATCTTTTTCATTGTGGCTCTTGCTTCCTGTGATCAGTTACAGCCTTCCTGTCTCAGCAGAGCATGCAGTCAGCCATCCTACCCATGTAAGCAGCACGAGAGCTTGATTTTTAATGTAAGCGTGACTTCCATTGGACATCAAAGGGCATTCGTTCTGACCTCATTACTCATCACTTGCAAGTGACTGTGGCGTGTATGTGAAGCAGGTTAGGGCTGGCTTGAGGCTGTCCCACTAGATGATAGTTACGTATTTTAAACTAGGATTTATTCATTATAGCATCTCACGTAACAGAAGAGAGAAAGTCCATAGAATTCTGTCTAACTTGTACTTTACTTTTAGCACTGTCTTAACCTGATTTCATTAAGGGCTATTTTATTTATTTTTAACAGGAATCACTAGATTTGATCTACTTGGCGACTTTGGAAGGTTTAATTGGCTGGGAAATTTCTATATTGTATTATCCTACAATTTGCTTTTTGCTATTGTGACAACATTGTGTCTGGTCCGAAAATTCACCTCTGCAGTTCGAGAAGAGCTTTTCAAGGCCCTAGGTAATCCTGAGGTTTATGGGTATTTTTTCCTCTTTCTACTAAATAATAATTTCGACATTTGAGTTAATATTACATTTTCAGCTATTTAGTTTCTTAGATTTGTAAAACCTTAGAGGTCAAGTTATTGATCCACTACTTTGTGCAAAATTACTTCATTAAGCCTTAGCTTCCTTATCTGTAATATAGTGACAGTATCGTCTTCCTTTCAGGGTTTTTGTGAAGATCAACTGAAATAATTCTCATAAGATCCTTAGCATAGTGCCTGGCACATCATAAGAACTCAGTAAATATTAGCCCCTTTATTATGACGATGGTGGTCATGGTGGTGGTGAGGATGATATGGTGTTAAAAGCTTATTCCTTGGTAATAATACCTTTTAGTTAAAGCTTTTTTGAGGCTTGAATTTTACAAGTATTAGGCTAACCCATAAGTCTCTTCAGTAAGCCAAATAATAAATTCAAGGTGAAAATGTTAGCATTCTTGGCATTGCTATAATAGAAGAAAGGGGATTTACTATTATGTATTCCAAGAGTCACATGTATTGCAATGGTGTTAAAAACTGGTAGGTTTAGCTAAAGGGTACAAACATAACCCATGAATGTATTTTTTATGCTTATTTCCACATTAGTGCTAAACATATGTCAAGTTTTTTACTTTAAGAATGCCAGGACAAAGTAAATGATCTTGATTTGGGGGGTGGGCTTGTAATTTTATGACAGAAGAAGGGAAAGGCAGTGACTTCTTGTAGAAAATTATTAAAACTCCTGACATTAGCTCATTCACCTGAGCTGACATCATTCGAATGCGTATGACTCCATATTGGGGCTTTTCGCTATTGCAAAAGGCCACGTATTGATGGATTCATTAAGGTCCAGTTTTCAGATAACTTAAACTATATGAGCAGCAATAAAGCTTCCTACATCACCAGGCCTTTCCAACCTTGATGTTTGAGAGGGTGACCTTTGGGAGGCACAGAAGATTTCACATGAGCTGGCCATGTGTCTTTCACTTTGCATATGCCCTGGCAGGGGACGGCTCATCAAATGCTGGCCTGACAGGAAACAGTCACAGCTCATCTCAGCTGACGCACCAGATAATTTATACCTTTCAGTGCTAAGGTTTAATAAAGCTGGCCCAACTTGAAGTGGGAATCAAACAGTCCTTTTTATCGGATGTCTAGCATTAAAACTTAATTTTTAAGCCTGTTATAATATCAGCAAGATTAGTTAGCCATGGTCTCAGATAAATTTCCACTTTCCATTCACTAAATGAGATGGTTGCAAATGGACTGCTATAAGTTTAGCTTTTGAATTAGGTATTCTGGGCATCATTTTGCTAAGAAAGCCTTTATTAAAGTAATAAAACATAACTTAACCTGATATAAAAGGCCTTGTATGCATGTCAGTTCATTGACCATAGGAGAGAGTAGAATGAGCAAGAGTTGTATAAAACTACCTAATAGATACATTTACTTTTCTTCCCAAATGTTTTTCAGTATTCTTTGGGGTGCTCTAAGGGGCAATTTATACGTAGAAAAAGAGTCTTATTAAGTATATGTAATGTTTGAATGATCTGAGATCTTAACAAGGATTTCACTGAGACTGGTAATTTGATTGTGAAATAGCTAGCCCCTTTCTTTTTTTCTTTCTTTTTTTGTAGAGTGTTTTTTCCCCTCTGCTACTCCGCCCGTTGATAATAATAGTACCCATCTCAGAGAATATCTAGCACACAGTAAACACTAGAAATTTAGCTGGTGACGGTGGTAACGGACGAGATGTTTTCTGGAGCTGTCTGCAGAAGAGGGACGTCAGAGTTTCCCAGAATGTGTAACCAACGTGACACCCAAGTGTTAGATGTGAACTCCAATAATCTGTCCTAAAAGGGGGACTTATTTCAGCTTAGTCAGTGGATACCGCATCAATCTCAGTGAATCTGTCTTCACTCAGTCCCTTCTCTAACAAGCTTTATTTTAGCACACTTCCTCAACTCCAACAGCTGTGGGTTCCTATTGTCATTCCTGGGACCAGACCATGTTTTGTCTTGGATTGATTTCTTTTTTTCCTTCCTATTCAGACGTAGAGAGGCTCAGTTTTACCTTTTCTTTCATTAAGATACGCAGGTGACAGAAAGATTTTGAAGTACAATATTAGTTTATGAGTGATGTGAAACTGCCTAATAGGTCAGTTACCACGTGAAATTTTAGGGAGAAAAATCTTTTCCTAGTAAGTTGTTGAGATGCCAGAAAGGTCTGAGCTTCATGATAAGTATTTTCTCAACATCTGTCCTGTGGAAGTGCTGCTGTGTATGGTCATAGGCCACATAATGATCGTTTGGTCAGTAACGGACCACTTGTCTGTGTGACAGAGACCACAGAGATGACAGTGGAGCTGAGCAGTTTCTGTCACCTAGTGACCTGGTAGCTGTTGTAATGTCCTGGCACAATGTGCCACTTTTCTAGGTTTAGATATTTTGAGATGCACAAATATTTACCATTGTGCCAGAGTTGCCTACAGTACTCAGTACAGTAACATGCTGTCTGGTTTGTAACTTAGGAGCAATAGGCCATACCCTACAGCCTAGCTATGTTGTGGGCTGTGCCCCCTGGGTGTGTATAGATATACTCTGTGATGGTATCACAGTGACCAGTTGACAACCCATTTCTCAGAGTGTATTCCTGTTGTTCAGCAACACCTGTGTTCCTGTATATCATTGTCTTTCATTTTTATTAAAGTGCTTGAAGCTCCGGTGCCACAGAAGCTCTTACATTTTCTTCTCCCTATGAGAGTGCAGTGTTGGTCTGTGCAGTGTTGGTGTCAGGTATATCACGTAAATAATTGTTATATGATACAGAGAGAAATAAATGTAACTTTAAAAGATAGTGATAATTTTGTATTCTGTGAAATACCTTTGGGTAGTGAGATATTATTTATGTTCAATTTATTCTTTTGTCATTTCTTTCTTTTTTGGTAATGTTTTCCATTCTTTTCTTTTTAATGACATGTGAATATTTTGGTGTGGCTTTCCCAACATTTTCCTGCATATGTGTGTGTGTTATTTTACTTTATTTGAAATTGTTTTGAGACAGGGTCTCACTGTGTCACCCAGGCTGGAGTGCAGTGGCGTGATCACATCTCACTGCAGCCACAACCTGCTGAGCTCAAGCGGTTCTCCCGTCTCAGCCTCCCACACTGCTGGGGTTATAGGCATGAGCCACTGCAACCAGCTAATTTTTGTGTTTTTTGTGAAGATGGGGTTTCACAGTGTTGCCCAGGCCTGCCTCAAACCCCTCAGCTCAAACGATCCTTCCACCTCAGCCTCCTGAAGTGCTGGGATGGCAGATGTGAGCCACCATGCCCAGCCTGTGTGCGTGTATTTTAAAATGAAAGTGAGAACCTATCTGTCTCGGTTAGGTTCCCTGAGAAGCACACTTTAGATGGGAATCCGCTTGCCAGGAAGAGGTTTATTAGCCGGGTTGGGGAAACGGAAGAGGAAGGGGCTGTGCAGAGAGAGGAATTGTGTCATGATGCAGTCACACTAGAAGCCTCCACTGGCCCTCAGGGATGTTATGACTTCGATGACCCTTCAGAGCTCCACTGAACTGAGGAGAAGCGGGCAGGCTCTTAGGACCCTCACATGCTATCCTGGAAGGGGCAGGACTCCCCTCCCTGCAGCTGTCTTCAGCTGAGGCCATCCCCAAAGGGAAGTTGCCAGTAGGGAGAAGAAATCTTTCATTCCTCAGGGGTATCTGGCCAGCACCTCACAGCTTCCCAAGTAAAACTTAGCTTTGTAAATCTCCTTTTCTCCCTACCCTAACCCTTTCCCAGTCACTCAACAATATATCATTTCTCACCAATTTCTTAATTTTTTTGCAGGGCTTCATAAACTTCATTTATCAAATACTTCAAGGGATTCAGAAACAGCCAAGCCTTCTGTAAATGGGCATCAGAAAGCACTGTGAGATGCACAGACGGCGTCTTCTACAACCAAGAGACCTGAGAACTCCAGACTCATGACATTCCTGTCCCATGTAGAAGCATTTCCATTTCAACCTTGGCTCCTCTTCAGAACCTAGACCTATCAGTGCCATTTTTTTTCATAGTCTACGAAGAACTTGGCTATGGCTGACCTTTTTTTAAATTTAACTTTCTGATAGACCCTGTAGTTTCCAGTTAAATGCAGATTCCTTAGAGCCGTATAGAACAGCGCATTCTTCTGTAGACATTTTCTCATATCGGTAAATACAGTCATCCATATGAAAAAAATTGTTTTCACCTGATATCAAAATGTTAGAAAAGGCAGACTCTGGGACTTCTAAAGATTTACTTAAATCCCATGATATACTTTATTCAGAATGTAGAAGCCGACCTGAAATGCATCCTTGGTACTAAGTGAAGCTTCTTCAGAAAATGCATTTTTCAAATGCAATAGGAACTATTTGTAGATATCATTATTGCAGTGTGCGTTGGAGCTGTAATGGTTGCAGTTATGTTTCTTATTTCCCTAAAAGCAAAAAGCATAGTTTCTGATTTATGTTTCAGAATGATACTGATTAGACTTTGAGCCAAGACGAAAATACTAAATTCTTTTAAACCTGGAGCCTTAGAGAGCCACAGGAATATCTTCTGTTGTACAGTCTAATAAGCTATGGTAGGAAGTATCATGTAATCACAGTTTAATGACAGTTTATGTATATGATTCAGTATTACCTCTGATAACATAGTTGCCAGTGTTTAATACACTTGTAACTTGGATTTTTGCCTTATAGGCTATATGTATACGCAGTTTTTTAAAGCATTTTTTTCAAAGATCACTTAATTCCCCGTGCTTCTGTAATGCTTATGAAAACTATAAATGGCGAGTGGTGGAAACTCCTTCTTTCCTCATAGTCCTCGGGCTCTGGTTACTTTTGCATATGCCATTTGAAGCCTCCAACTTTTACCAGTTTAACATCCAAAGTTCACAGCATCACCATTCATGGTGTAAGAACAGTTTTGCAGTATAACACGATCTGATAATCATTCAGTTATTCAATTGTAAATAATTACTGGGATGGTTTCTTGGCTTTACTGAATAAAATCTATGAAATTGTACTCTGTGTTAACCACCCACTAGGATAGAATGCCGGAAACTGTGCATGCAAAAATACGAGATGGGTCCATTTGTACACAATTCGTAGTTATGCAATCTACTATATAAATATGTTCACATGCACTATGTGTATGAAAATAGATTGTCTGTGTTCAGACGAAAGTAAAACATTTTTTTCAAATTGTTAAATTTAAAGGTTTTCTGGGAGAAATTTATGAAAAACAGGCTGTGTCTATTTGACATCAGAAATTTCCACTTAAACCAAAATAATGAGAAACTTTATTCTGTATATTTATAACCTTCGTTGAGTATACTTCCCCCTTATTTATACCTCTGCATTTCCTTCTGCGCTTCACATCTTTCTAAAATGCAGCTTGGTTTTAAAATAAAAGAACATTCATTTTGTGATTCTAAACAACCTTCAGTAAATACCACCAGTATGGTACTGGTGAATTTCTCAGCATAAAATCGACGTACCTAAAAAGTTAATAAAATTCAGCTCTTTTCCAATTTCATTGTTACGCCTATTGAAGTATTAATAGCAAGGTTTCATTTTTCATGAAACTTGGAATCCGTACTTTGAGCAGACTAAGTCAAGGGAAGAACAGAAAGAAACTCAGGAGTAGAGTAATGTCATTTTTCGCTTACACCACTTTCAGGGCACATCCAAAGAGTTCCTAGATACTTGTAAAATGTCTGAAAAATTTTAAGTAATAAACTTTTCAATGTTTAGCTCAACTTTTTGTTCATTTGGAAGTTTCTCTCCATCCAAGGACTTAAGCCAGTTTTGGATTTGTAAGCCCAGAGTACAGTACACTTCCTGGAGGCATCGTCACTGCTGTTGAAACAAAGAATGTGCATGGGGTGGAAGGACGGCTTTGAACCTCTGGACTCAGCCTTGAGAACAAATACAGATTGTTACAGCCCTGGGCTGCTGCGTAATCACAGTTCCTCAGCCTCTTCCAGAGCACATGCCCAAGCTCTGCCTCTCCAGAGACTGACTCCAAATGCAGGTGCTTCCGCTGGACCTAGGTTGGAGGCTGCTTTATATGACAGACTCCAGAAATGGATGCCAGAATACAGAGGCCAAACGTTCTGAGTCCTGGTAAGGACAGTCGCTCTGGGGGTCTTCATTTTACTGCAGTTCCTGCGCGCCAGTGAAAGGAGATAGACCCTGGAAGGCAGAGCTGCAGATGCTCGTCATCGGGTCAATTCTGGAGCTACAGTTTTGTTTCTGACTGGATGAGGACGCACCGGTGACTGTATCAAATCAAACAGTCCTTTTCTTCTCTCTCCTTTAGTATCGATTTTAAAGTGCATTAGGCACTATGGTTTCAGAGTTTCTTGGGGAAACTTTGCAGATTCGTATTCATTGCTTCTGCGATACTTAAATAAATTATTTTACAATTACACGTTTTCAGATTATAACATTTGTATTAATTTTTACTGATTTTCCAAGATACTTCTTAGATTTGCTATTTATGTAGCTTTATGTACATTCTCTGTAAAAATAGAGCTCTAAGTATGAGACTTTACATGAAAATTGTACACACACATACACTAATGTTAGTTCCTTAAATTGCTGCACTAAGGTGCTGGTTAGTAGGGATGGATGGAGCCTCTGGCGTTTTGCTCGCACATGCGTTAAAGGCTCATGTGTACCTGCTCTCAGCGGCAATGCAGCCTTCCCACACTTTGCTGGGTGCCCGTGGCTCTCCCTGCAGCCTCAGTGATGACCTCGTCTGCCAGTGACACACGTTTTCATCATGTACAGGCTCTTATGTGCTTGTTTTGTTGGTAGCACGTTACTTAATGCACAAAGGCAGATTTTTTTTTTTTTTTTTGAGACGGAGTCTTGCTCTGTCGCCCAGGCTGGAGTGCAGTGGCCGGATCTCGGCTCACTGCAAGCTCCGCCTCCCGGGTTCACACCATTCTCCTGCCTCAGCCTCCCGAGTACCTGGGACTACAGGCGCTGCCACCTCGCCCGGCTAGTATTTTTTTGTATTTTTTAGTAGAGACAGGGTTTCACCGTGTTAGCCAGGATGGTCTCGATCTCCTGACCTCATGATCCGCCCGTCTCGGCCTCCCAAAGTGCTGGGATTACAGGCGTGAGACACCGCGCCCGGCCAAAGGCAGAATTATTATAGGTTTTTTAAAAAATGTGAACATAGGTGCAGCACCTACTTTTTAAACTTGAAAAAACTGGTATAATGTTAACTTTTAAAAGTAACATTTGGACACACTAGTAAACTAGTAAACATTTTTGTTTACAGATTGTTTTGTTTACACATTGTTACTCTTTTGTTTCGATGAGATACTTTTAGTGTGACTTTAAAGTGTCTTAGAAATTAAAGTTTTACAAAAAGTGATTTCATATTTGGTTTATACGCATTTATATGTGGGGCTTATACTTTTGTTTTTTCCATCTTAAATACCATCATGGCTAAAACTTAAGGGAATTTGTAGGCTAATTCCATTTCAGTTTTATACAGGGCAGTAATAATTCTGATGAATGCCGAATTAAGGAAGAAATGGATATTTTCTTTCTCTGTTGTGCAGTTATTGGTAGATCAATTTCTTATAACCCAAAATGTAGCATCAATAATTGATAGCATGTATTTTATTTAATTACTTGAATTTATTTAGACTTGTTTGATTTCTCTAATTTTTTCCATAAAAGGACTGAACAGCACCTACTTGTGGTGTGGGCAGCTTATCCCAGCGTTCTTGGAAGAATAAATGTTGTTAGCATCTGGTTAATTTACTGGCAGACAGAGACCTACTCGTCAGTGGCTTTCAACTCTTTGACCACAGTAAGAAATAACCCATTACACACGTACACACTCTCTCTCTCTCTCTCTCTCTCTCACAGATACATATAAGCAAAAATGTAACAAGACAGTACCCATTTTTCCTAAGTGTGCATGCTGGCACCTTCTGTTTTAGTTATTTTTAAAAATACTAGACAGACACTAAGTTATTTTGTGGCCTCCTAATAGATGGCAAACTTCAGTTTGAAAAGCATCCCTTTGGATTGTGGTTTGAAAGAAGAAATAATACAAAGACCTTTTTGGAGTATTTTTTGTTTTTTTGGTTTTTGAATATTGTTTAGGTAAAAATTATTGCTGCAAATAACCACTGAAGCAAAAGTAGTGTGTAAGCAAATTACCTGTTGCATTGTAGAAAATAGAAGTTCCTAAAACTAACAAATAGAAAAAATTTCAAAACTTGGTGACTGATCCATGTCTTGAAGGAATATTAGGCAATAAACTTAGCTTTTCAAGAGAAGTTATTTAACTTCTTTAATTTGGAAACATTTTTTTTTCAAGGTTAACTATAATCAAATAGGAACTTCAGACAAAACCTCATTATTCTTGGATATGGTGTTCTGCTGTTACTTCTAAAAGTGCTACAGAAGTCAAGTTCCCGAGCCTGGATTAAGAACAACAGGGCGGCCCTGATGTTGTGAGTGGCTGTAGAGGACCAGAGTGATGTAGGAGAATCTATCGTGTGTGAGCGTGAGGAGGTGCAGAGTCACCTGTGGGCTATGCATCTGAGAACTGAAGTTTTATCACTTAACTAAAACCGTTTTGTGGCTGTTGTAATATTTTCTCCTTTGCTTTCCTTTCCTTTGAAAAGCTGTTATTGGATGAACGATGCTGCTTACAAACACTGACGCTTCAGAACCAAGCACATTTGTTACTGCTGTAGTTATAGTGATTCTGCAGCTTTTCTTTTACAGCATCTTGAAGTCATCCACAGTTGTTCTGTGTGGACTTCACAGTAGAATCAGAGAACTAAGTGACAAGTGGAGCGTCGTCCTTCTCCTGCTGCGCACTTCCTCCTCACCACCTCTCTAGCCTAGCTTTCCTTCAGTCTGAAGAGTGATTTACTTTTTCTTTTCTTTTTAGTCTTTACTGTGGAATCTCATCAAAGACTTGGAAGCAGGGATGGTGAGAGGGGCCTGGGGTGTAGTGTGGAGGGTCGAGTGCTCTGTGATCCCACAGTCACCCCCAGGACCACCTTGCAAAGCAGAAAATACACACCTGTATTTTACAGATAAGGAACGCCACTCAGAAAGCTGCAGACATTTTCCTGGGGTCACACTCATAGTGGGCAGATGAACTGGATGGAAATACAGGCCAGTACAACCGCAGTCTCATTTTTTCTTTGTTTTAGGTTTTCAGTTTCTTTTTCAGTCATGTACCCTACAGTTCTATTATCTTGTTGGTAAAGATTGATGACAGGTATCCTCATTCTAGATTATAACCTTTATTCTTATCAAATGCCTCCAGTCCCACAATTCTCTAAGAATTCTCTTTCTGGACTTGATACTGATTTAATGATTTCCCCCAGCTCATGGAATGGCAGGCTCCTAATTAAGTGGATTTAAAGGCAAAAAGGGATGTGTGAGAAGGCACAAGAAGTGGCTTCATCTTGCAAGGTGACTACCAGACAACTGGGTTACAACCTGTTAAAATAAGGGAGGAACGGCCGCATCCCGTAGGGACTGCGGTAGCTGACCGGGAAGCCACAATGAGGGCAGCAGACAGGGCTCTCCCTGTCCGCCGAGTCCTCCCATGAACTCACGTTTCTGAAGGCCCCACTCTTTCTTGGTCAGTGTCCCAATTTTCATAGAAGAGACCTGATGAGGCTGTGGAGTAACTGTGTAAAAGCTTGCATTGTTTTCATGACTTGACCTGACAAAGTGTCATTATCTTCAAATTGTCCAGAGAAGCAGCTACTTCACTCGGGTCCTTTTTATGGTTCTGTGGTTGCAACTTGGTCTCCCAAGCCTTCGATGGGCGTGCCATTCCATGGCCACTTTTCAGTAAGAAAATTACCTGATTTTCTGTTAACTGTCACAGGCTGCCCCGGACTACTCTCAGTACTCATGGGATTTTCACGACCCTCATCCTCAGTGAAGTTAGATGACCATTCCTGCCTTTCATCCCACCGATTTTCCTGAGTATCTGTTGCCTACAACTAACACTAGTTCCTGCGTCAGTAAAGTACTGCGCTAGTTGCAAAGAACAGAAATGGACTCTGCCAACATAAGCAGGAAAGGCATTCACGGGGAGTGTATGGCATGGCTCACGGATGTCATGAGAAAGCCCCAGAAGAAGTGCTGGGTACAGCCTTTCCTGGGCTCTTCCCATCACTGAATGATCCGTGTATCTCCGGGACTGTCCCTCCCTCTAGATCCAAAGTTTGGGGCAGCAGAATCGGACTGCCCTGGCCTTTTACACATGCCAGTGCTTTGCCTGTCACCGTATGGGGAGAGAAATGTCAGCTTACAGAAAATTGAGGTTCTGTGATTCAGCTTCCCTCTGCTCTCTTACCGTAAAAGTGCTTACTCATTGTTTAAAGCATTCTCCAAATTAGTCTCCGAATTTTTTGATGGTATACATCATTAAAAAATGTTTGAGCACATCACAATACATGCATATTTATTCATAAATGATACATATGTAGCTATGTCATGTGTACATCACAAAACACATGAGAGTATTTTTTCTAAGGAATGAGATAAAAATAGAAATGTTGGTACTTCTCACCTTAGACGCTGGGTTATTCTGAGCGTGTGCCATGTGTACACCCACTTGGCTTCTTCCCCTTAGGCCCACACCCTGCCCTTTCCTTGCCCCTTGTAGTTACCTGTGGCTGGAGTGATGAGTGCCACTTCCAAGCGTGGCCTCGAACAATGTCCTCCTGCCCCTCCACCAGCAGTGGGAGGATTCACTGGGGACTCTGGGCAAAGGAGACTGTGTCACAAGACAAAAGGGAGCCAGGGTCACACGTGGCAGACCCTCACCCTGCCTCACCCCACGCTGACATGGGTTGGACACCTCAGAAATCACGTGTCTTCAGCGAGCCACTGAGATTTGGGGCTTTACCTGTTACTTGGCTAGGGTTAACCTAACTGATGAGACTGTAACTGGTTACTGTAAATAACCAAGCTCCCAGTAATAGTAAACCAGTGACAAAAACAATTCTTATCCAAAAAGGTTCGCATTTTTTTAATGTATGAACTAAAACAGCCTTTATTGCTCTAAGACATTAAACTTTGCATTTTTTTGATGTTGAATACAACGGAATATTTTATTTTCATATTTTATGACAAATACAGCAATTATTACAAAATGAATATTAGGGATGGCAAAGGCTTCAAGACAAAGTCTTAGTGGAAAGCATTTGGAACTTAAGGAGTGTTTTACACTTGGAACTTACTGTAAGGAGTGTCGGTCAGACACTAGCTGTCTCTTAACCTCCATTTTTAAAAGCAAGCTCTCATTTTTTGCCATATTTCAAGTGATTCAACTCATAAATTTGAAATTTACTTTTTAGAGACAAAAGACTAAAATTAGATGGGCTGTCATCTTTTAAAATATACTTAGATTTCCTACAACTACCAATAGCTTATTTCCCTGGGAAACAGATTGCATTGTAGTACTTAACCCAGAACTCATGCAGTTCATCCAAAATGATGGTAAACTTTTTTCCTCAGAATTACCTAACTTTCCTTGACTATGAATTCAGCATTCAAGAATCTTCTTCTGGTAGCCGGAGCGGCAGAGAGGACAGGCATGGAAAGGCGGCCTGTCTCCCACGGAGAACTCCTCCAGTGCGAGCAGACACGCATGGTGGAACACGTGTGAGCAGGACAGGAGGGCCGTCTCTCGGGAACGCTGGCCGGCCCCCACGCGCTGACCGCCAGCAGGGGAGAGGGGCGCCAGGCAGATGGAGCACTCGTGGGTCTCCCGGCGCAGAGCCTGCGGCACACGGGACAGGAGGAGGCCACGCAGGTTAGTTTCATCACAGCAGAAAGTTACTTAAACTGAAACGAGCATCATGTGCCCCGAGACGTGGGTCTTCTAAACATGCAGAAGTTTCATTCTGTGTTAAAATCACATGAATTATATATATATACTGTTACTCCTGGGAATGGTGGAAAGGGTCAGTAACCCACCTGTGACAAGCAATTTTGAACAAAAATACTTTCTAAAATGCTGAACATTGATATTTCCTTTGAAGTAAGCAATCGAGAGGACTGTTTTTCAAAACACTTGACTCACTGCTACACCTTCCCACATTTCCTCATTTTATGGTTTTTAAAGTAAGTTTTCCCCGCCTTGGCTTGAGTCATCTCATGGTCGTTTTCAGGCTGGAACTTTCAGGAAACCTGGGAAGGCGATCTGTTCCCTGGTGTTTTCATGGTTCACAAAACGGCATCATACCACAGGAACTTCCAGAATTTCAAACCGAAGGGACCTTTGCCGTCACCCTAAAGCCCACGACGAAGGTCCTACTATGGGTGCAGCGGCAGCTACGGCAGAGGTTACCCCGGGCCTGACACTCCAGGCTCCCCAAAGTGACCCCTCGACCTCCCGCCACAAACCGCTCCCCACAGCCCCCCCGGCTGCAGCTGAGTCCGCTGGTTGCCAGGCCGCCAGCCACGCCTACCTGTACCTGGATTTTCTCCCATTCCTCTTCTGTGATCTCATGGCCGTATTTTTCTTCGAACTGCTGAAGAACACTGCGGTTTATAGCCAAGCACCGATCGATCTCTGCAAAGAGCTCTTCGATGTTGGTGTTGTATGAGCACAGGATTCGGTGGCTGATTTCTGTGAACTGGGGAGGACAGAGGGAGGGGCACGCTCACACCCGAGCTTGGTGCAGGTTGCAGGGAAACGCTCTTGAGCCTGGCCATCTATTTTGGTAACCTTCCTCATCTCTGTCTTCAAAGAATACTTTTTAGGGAAACAGATACATGTCTATCTTACTTAACTTACTTAACTATAAATCCAGATAATCTATCTGGACAGATGACCACAAGAACCCCTATCTAATGGGGTTCAGAATACACTACCCCAAAATAGGGCACCTTGGCACACTGAATATTTTAAGGAAAAAGTGTTCCTTCCCAAAGGAATTTGAGAAATGACAGCTGCAGGAGGGACCGTCTGACCTGTCCCCACCCCTGAAGTGGGTCACAGGACCCTCCTGTGAGAGGCCCCCTCGTCTCCAAAGATGGAGGGAGCTGGGAGTAGGCTGAGCACACACAGGCCCTGCCGTGGTTCCCACCCACCACCCTCAGCTCACTCCCCTTGCACGCTTCCCCACGGCCTCCGCGTCCTCAGTCCAGCCTCGCATAGAAAGCGCTCAGGCCTCACTGTCTCTTCAGGTCTCCACTGCCTTAGGAAGGCTTCCATATCAAATGGACTTATTAAGTAAATCTCTTTTGTTAAGCTTTTTGTCTAATTTACAGGGCTCTAGCTACAGAATGTAGGAGGGTAGGGGAAAAGGGTATATTGTTTCCCTCCCCTGCTGTTTTCTTGGTTGTGAGCTTTGACCATTAGCAGGAACACATTTGAAATTAAAAGTTGAGAGAAAAATTTGAATTTTGCAGGATCAGCTCTGTCCCACGGAAACGTACTGTGAGCTACATATGTAATTTTAAAATTTCTGGCAGTCACATTAAGTTTTTTAAAAGGCGAAATTAATTTTAATATCGTATTTGACCCAACATATCCAAAATATTATCACTTCAACGTTTATTAATTGAATACAGTATTTTGGTTTTCTGGTATTTTTGTTTGGTTTGGTGGAGACAGCATCTTGCTCTGTCACCCAGAATGGAGTGCATGGGGCCATCAGTGCTTACTCAGCATTGGCCTCCCAGGTTCAAGCCATCCTACACTATAAAGGTCTGAGTCATTGCAGAGCGGTCACCAGTGTCACCTGAGGCTCGGAGAGGTAGCTCATTCAGGGCCACACCAGCAGCTCCTTTTCAGGAAGCGTGAAGACGAATGTAAAGCAAAGGAGAGTAAGGTGTGTGAAAGGCTGTGCCAATGGTGACTGTCAGCCACGCTGCCTGCCCTCTTGCTTGTCCCTTCAAGGGCAGAGCTGTGGCTCACCCAGAGATGACATCTCCCATTCCTCCAAGCCCAGGTGGGGCCACGTGGAATAGTTCTTCCAGATGGACGTGGCTCGTGTCTCTTCTGGGTGTTCTCCAGGCCTGGGGGGTGGCAGATGAAGGACAGAGGGAGACAGTTCCCGAGCCCCACAGGCTGGCATGTTGCCTGCAAGTCAGGACACCTGAACTGTCCTATGAGATGGAAGCTCCGGCTTTTAGTCACTGAAATTCGAGGGTTCTTTGTCCAGCAGTTAGAAGTGCCCTGATTCAGGAGTTACATCTGCTTCATGGAATCGGGCTTGAAGCCCAAAGAAGGATGAAATGAAGAGGGCCCATGGGGATCTCACACATTTAGATGTGTGATGGGGAAAATGCATTTTGGATGCTCCATGACTGTCCAGGTTTCAAATATTCTAGTCTACCGGAGACCTCATGTTCTTTTTCTTTTTTTTATTTAATGTGGAGCAACCTGGCAGAAGGTCACCTGGCAGAAGGTCACCTGGCAGAAGGTCACCTGGCAGAACGTCATGTGTATTTAAGTCCCCAGACTTCAGAAGGTGCCTTTGAGGACATGGAGTTCTCTTCCAATTCTCTCCCTTCTGCAAAAAGATCGTGAGACAGCGCAGGGTCGAGTGCTGTGGAGACTATGAGCTGCCTTTGTCCTTGGGATGTTAGAAGAATGAGTATTGTCTTTAAGGATGAGAGATCCTTTTGAGTAAAGAACATTCTGTGAACACAGCAGGCGGTCCACAAGGGTTGGGGTTTGAATGAAGGGGGTGGCTGAGGATCTTCCAGGCACCTGTGTTTTGGGATTAGCCATACTTGGAAGCCCGGTGGAAGCTGCTTTTCTATTTATGAGTCAAATTCTCTTTCACTCTGAATGTAATTATAATTGCCAAGCAGCTGTATCTTAATTTAGGGTCTTCAATTGGTAATGTTTCCTAAGGCTTTAATTTTAGTTTTCTTTGTTCCTTGGCCTTTCAAATATCTAATAATATCTAAATAAATTATTGAAAGTAGAAGAGTTCTCTATATGTTGTAAAAGGAAAAATTACTTGGAAATATATACAGTTACCTCCAATTGATGCTTTGTAATTCAGGTTTTCTGTAAATTATTTTTAAGTGTGAGATACTTTCCACATATGCCTGAAAAGCAAGATCTTTTCTTCCTTCAAAATTATACCTCAGAGAAAGGGTCACATTCTATCCAGACCTTGCGAAGTGTTTCAAGTTGTGCGGCATGTTCTGAGATGAGTTTTGAACATAAAAGTACTATTTGGAATGATTGATAAATTGAGTGAAATGATCAATATGATCTGGGTGTTTATTCTGAAAGTGGGGCCCAGAGCCGCAGCCTCAGCTCCCGGGAATCTGAGAGAAAAGCAGAGCTTCAGGCTTTGCCCCAGGCCTGCCGAGGGCAGTCTGGGTGGGGGGCGGGGTAAGCCCTGCAATCTGTGTTTTCCAAGCCCTCCAGGTGATTCTGAGGCCCATTCAGGTTGAAGAACCAGGGTCACAGAAGTTACCGATCACATTTTTTAAATATGCAGTTATTTAACACAGCATTATTGATCATTCCTGAGGTGTTACCTCCCAACTCCAAGCATGGATATCGCTGTGCGTGAGCTTTCAGAAGCCACTTGAGGAACACAGTAAGTGTGTGGGCCACATATACATACATACGTACGTTGATATGCATTCATGTTACAGTATCACCTGTGTGTGCATATATTCTGTCATACGTGAGTGTCTCTCTCTCTCTACAGGATGCCTGGAGGAATCCCAGCTGTTCTGATGTTACATGAATGAGTTACTTGCAGCTCAAGGTAAACTTCCAAAGACAGCATCATTAGGACTGTTTAAAGTACATTTTCCTTCAAACGCGTTAGATGGAAATAGCGCTCACATGCTCTGAACAACTGTGTTGGGCGACTCCTAAGTGGCCCTATTTATGACAAAGACTCTGAGGTCCAATACTGATGTCACCTAAATGCCTCCTCCTGCCTCAGTCGCTGTGGCATACAGGTCCTGTCTCCTTTATTAGAACGTCAGTTCCTGGGGCCAGGAGTGTTGTTCTTAACACTGATAATACCATCCAGGGTTTTTAAAGGGTTTTGCATCTGTCATTACATCCTGCCTTTAAACCCTCTCAAGAGCTCAGGACATGCACTGACCACAGCAGGCGCTTGTGGAAAAACACAGACTTGTCGATTTTGCATATATACCAAATAAATCTCAGGGAGAGTGGCCCTTCACACTCAGTGCTCCAGTCTTAATAGTAACTGGTGTAATATGGCAAGAAAGCAAATAAATGCTTAGGGTATGTTAATATACATAAGAATCACAAACTAATTCCACACTCAGGTGTTTGATTCCACAGAAGAAAACCTAGCATGGCAGACGCAAATATCCTTTCCACAAGTTTTGATGAAATATTCCATTCCACAAGTGTTGTTATGTACTTTCACTATTCAATTGAAATTTTTTCTAATTTCCATTATAATAGGTTATTTAGAACTGTTTATCAATTTCCAAATGTGAGAGATTTCTGTTTTCTAAAACCATTTTATTTCTAGCCGCAGCTGCACTGTGGTCAGGGAACATACCCTGCACGACCTAAGTTTCTTAAAGTACATGGACATAAAGATGGTAACATGAGATACTGGGATGACTGGGGAGGGACACAAGGGCTGAAAAACTAACTTTTGGGTACTATGCTCATGAGCTGGGTGACAGGATTATCTGTACCCCAAACATCGCCATCCTGCAATATACATCCAGTAACAAACCTGCACAGGCACCCCCAAATCCAAAAGCTGAAATTACAAAACATAAATGTCTTAACCTATGATGAAATTTGCATCATGGACAAGTATATGGTCAGTTTTTATAATGATATCTTTGTACTCTGAAAGAAAATATGTGCTACAGTTGCTCGGTGTGGTGTTCTACACCATTATCTCTAATAAACGCCTTTGCTTTAAAATCTCTTTTGTCAGGTATCAGTACATCAGCTTTCTTCTGTGAAGAGTTTATGTGTATATTATAGTACGTATAATGTGTGATACACACTCACACACACACAGTTCTTATGTTTTCAGGCATCTCCTCTGAGTAACACGTACATAATCTGGTTGCTGGAGCACTCAGTCCACTTTGTGTTGTTACTGACACACAAACGGCACACCTGTCCTGCTCTGTGCCTTCCATCTGCCCTGCCATTTTTTAAAAATTTTGCTCTTTTCAATTAAAATTTTCTATTCTCTTTACTATTTTGAAGGTTAAAACTCTGCTTCTATTCTTTTAGCTGTTGCCCTAGAAGTACATACTTACATTATTAAGGTCTAAATTGGAATTTTATCCCTTGAACCAATACAAGGATCTCAGCGTACTTTGTAATGTTCCTCTCCTGCTTTATGTTATTTTTGTCCTAAGCTCTCTCTGTCTCTCTCTCTTTTAACCTGAGACATGCTGATTCTCGTTTGGTGGAGTCAATGACTATTAGATTTACTCACATTTTTACCACTGACATCTCAGATTTCCCGTCTGGGGCCATTTTCCTTCCTCATGCAATGCATCCGTTAGAATTTCCTTTAATGAAGACATTCTGGTGGCACACTCTTTTTGTCTGATGGCTTTTCTTTTGCCTCTCTTCTTGAATGTAATTTTCATTTGGTTCATATGGAAGTCTAGGCTGACGGTTAGGTCTCTTCCGAAACACGGAGATGTCACCCCACCTTCTGCCGTTCCCACTGAGAAATCTGCAGGGCTGCAGGGTTTGCCATCGTTGATCCTTGTTCCTGGCCACCTCCAAGATGACTCAGCGCCGCGTGTTCTGCAGGCTCACTAGACACTTAAACAAAGCCATATGGGGCTTCCTTGGGCTTCTTAAATCTGTGGCTTGCATCTTCAGATCTGGGAAATTCTTAGCCTTTGTTGCTTCAAGCCGTTGCCTCTGTCCCACGTGTTCTCTTTTCTCTTTGAATTCTGACAGTGACACGGAACCCTGCGCCACATCCTTTCTTAGGCAAGTCACTTCCCTGGACCCGCCTTCCCAGGGGATACGAAACGCAGGGTCCCCCTTGCAGACCTGACTCCTCAGTGAGCTGAAGGCAGGGCTTGGCTAGAACGTGTGTGTATCAAGAGCCAAAGTCAAAACAGTAGAGCCAGCCGTGCTTAGCATCCAGCTCTTCCGGAAAGAAGGAAATGAGTGTGCACTAGGGGGTGGGAAATACCAACTGTGTACTTTTTGGTGATTCCACGTATGAATTAAATGCTCTTACATTTGCACTTAAAACTGACATTCTGGTGTAAAGATGCACTGTGAAAGTCATAAAATTTATAATTTAATTTTTTCTTAGAATAACATTAAATAGCAAATAAAAAACACTACATGACCACTGGAGAGAGAGGCCACAGAATTACATGCAGCTTTATACTTTTAGTACGCGAATGGCACTTTCCCCATGCTTTCTCTTTTAAACAGGGATCTGTGTTTTCATTTTCATGGCACTAGGCCATGCCTGCCTGCCTGCCTGTCACCTGGAACACAGCTCCCCAGCCCCGCATGCTGCAGCCCAGCTGTGCGTCTCATGTGGTTCTTCTGGGCCTCCCCTCCATGGGCACGCCCTGCAGAGGCTCCCAGGAAGCCCCTGTGCTGGAGGGGCCGAGTCATGGCCCTTTCTCCCTGGGAGTCCCCAGCCCTGCCCTCTTTACCCTCTTTGGTCTGGGTCCCAGCTCTGACCTTGCACCCCCGGGGCTCTGAGGGCAGTTTCCAGTTTTCATGTGGCTGCAGGTCGCCCTCTTGAAAATGACCTATCTGCTCAGCGCCCAGCTCAGGGCCTCACAGGGGTCTGGGTCCTGGAAGGGTCACCTGTGCCCACCGGCTCACACTCTCCCAGCCTGCCCCTCCCAGACGCCAAGCCGCACTGCCCTCTGCCTGGACAGAGGTTCCAGGGAACGGCACGGTCCCTCCATTTGGGTTCAGGGTGCATCTCCTCAGACATTTCCACCTTATTTCAAACATCTCACTCCCACTTCACACTCTGTCCCCTTCCTCTCTTTGTATTTTTCTTCCTGGCACTTATTACTTCTTGAAAATTTTAACAAAGTATTTTATTTATTGTCTCTCCCCAGCTCCCTGCAGGAAGGGTGCCCTGCAGCAGCCGGGAACCACCTGAGTGGCCTCCACATGCACCTGGACAGGCGCGCGGGCTGGGTGCTCACACCTGGGCCCCAGAGGTGCTGGTCAGCACCCCCTTTACAAAGAAGGCTCGCAAAGTACACAACTCCAAGTGCCGGTCCATGAAAGCAGTTCACATAGACTTTTAATACAGTTAAGTCTAATTTATATTTTAATATCTACTCACCCTACGTAACCAAATATCATTTTTACCCTTATTAACAATACTTTTTTCTTCCTTAATTTAAGAGGAATTAAAGCATTTCCTCAATGAGAAAAACAATTCCCTTTACATGTAATGGTGGTTAAAGACTATTAATATGCATTTTAATCAATCTAAAGTAAATGATTTTAACTTAAATTTACCACTTCCAGGATCCACACGGTGAATGACAACAATTTCTAAAGGGGCTGGGGTGAAAAGAGTTGGGGAAGTGCTGAGCTGCCATGGAACAGGCACTGTGCTAGCCCGAGGGTCTGGAGGACAAACACTGGTTCCTTTAACAAAGAGCTCCCGTGTAGCAAGAAAAGCCCCGCTGACGATGGATGGAATGCGATGGAATGTGATGGAATGCGTGCTGCTGTGGCACCGGACTCAGGAGACATGGAGGAGGGAGGGAGGGAGGAATTGCCGGGCTTCTTGGGAAGTCAGCCCTGGGCCGACCAGCTGGTGGGACAGGGACCTGGGAAGGAAGGAGTGAGGACACAGGCAGAGGGATGACGCAGGGGGGCAAGACCCACAAGGGCAAGTCACTGGAGCCCAGCCCCACCCACCTCCCTCGACAGCCTCTGTCCTCTGGGAACACTCTCCCAGGTCACTCCCCACGGGCCACCCTCCTTCCTTCTTGTTCCTTCCTTTCCTGTGTGAATCTTAGGGTCTGGCCAAACTTGTTGACTCAGTTCAGTGAATCACTGTTAGATATTTCTGTTTCCCTGACTGCACATGAATGGCTAGTGGGATCCATGTGTCCAGGTACCTGGGCTGGAGGTGACCTCTCTCCTCTGAGCTCTCACAGGGCACTGCTGCTCCTTTCACACGTCAGCTGCCCAGTGTTAGCTTTTTCCCGTGTGCATTGCTTATCTCCTTGAATGAGCGCCTTAGATTCAGGGAAGCACCAATTCATCTTTGTAAGGCCCTTAGCATTCAAGAAATTTTGACTTTAGGTTTGCAACAGATGAGAAATGAGAGCAACTATATGCCTCAAATGTACATATTCCAAAGGAGTGCAGCAGAAATCCTTTTTGGGGGAACTGAGAAAAAACACTGCCTACCTAAAATGATTTTCAAGTTATTTCCAGTGTCAAAATTCAGTAAAACATCAACTTTAGCTTATAATCATAACATTGACATTAGCTTATTAATAAATATACTGAAAGTCCTTTCATAGGCATTTATGACAAATTTAAAAAGTGAACTGGGATGAATATTCTCATAGCTTTGAGTATTCAAAAGTTAGCAAGGGTGGTACTTGTAAAAGTCAACATTTATTAACTGTTGTAGTTAATTCAAAGGAATATTCTGTGGTTAGCTACTATTAAATATTTTTAATTGTCAAATTCTTCTGTGTGCAACGTTCTTTATTCCTTTATTTACTCCCTCACTTTTCATGTGGGTTAGATGACCTTAGTAACTGAAAGGGCAAGAACTGTCAAAAACAAATGACAACTGATTTCTAGTTTTTAAACAAATGGTTGATATTATGAATTCTACAGAAACAGACAAAATACCTGAACATTTTCAATTTTACAAAGAATGAATGTCTTAATGTATTTTTCCTTTTAAGCCTCACATTTCAGATACTTGATAAACTAAGTAAGAGTTTGAGTTATTGATATGTAAAACAACTACTGGTCATTTACAAGTAACAAGCTGGCTAAACATTTTTTAAAAATATACTAACAAAAGCACCCAGGTGAACTCTGTCTACCCAGGAGGGCTTTTTAAGTGATCCATCTTGATGTCAGCAAATTGCTTACTAATGTGTTGACTTACGGCCGCCCTCAAAAGCAAAATGAAAAGCCTGGAATTTACAGCATATCAATGAATCAGTTGATAAGCTTTTACTGGTTTAATATCCTTCCAGTCCTGCTGCTTGGAGCCACTTCAAGTTAGCAACAGAATGTTTGCCATCTCTATGTGATAAAGGAAGTCAAAGGACTAAGCAAACTTTAAGACCATTATGCTGTTTGGTGAGATGTAAATGAAAAAAGTCAGAGAAATCTTGTGCTGGAGGGTGTGGGAGCCAGCAGCCCCTAAAGCTGCCCCAGCATCTGACAAATCACTCAGCCCACTTTCTAAACAATGTCCGGGACTTTTAGCTGGGGTGGAGATAATATAATGCACTTGAGAGTTTTAATTGCAGCAATAAAAGCCCCTGCCTCAATCGTATGACATACGCTAGCAGAGTTTCCAGATAAGGATCAAAGGCAGTCAGGCCCGGCCGCTGCATTCTGGGCAACACTGTGGACTTTCTGTACACACGGTGCTAGGTATTAGCAGAACAGCTCGAGTGACCTTTCCAGGCCTCTTTGATCTGCGTTCCTCAAAACCTGAATGAATAAGTGTACGAGGACTACTGTATCATCCCCAGACAACTCAAACACCCTCTCTGACAAAGGCATTTCTGAGTGAATTTTTATTCTCTGACACTTTTCAGTTCTTACCACAAGACTTCAACATAGCTGAAAGGACCTGCATTGTAGCACAACATCACTGCTGTGGCTGGGTTTTGTTAGGAATGTGTCAATGACATCCTAGAGCTGTGAAAAGAAACCTGCAGTGTATGCAAGCGTTCCTCTTACAGAAAGAGGGTCCCTGTGTTTCACTCGTCAACACCCAAAAGGTGCATGAAAACTGAAGAAAACACTTCACTACCTCTCTCTGTAGTAGAGGAGTAAAAATGTAGGAGCAAAGTTCGACAAGCAAAATAGATTAATTTATAAAAACAGAATGGCTTTGGGCTAATCTCATCCTGAGTATTAAAAACATATCCCTCTTGGTGAGATCCTAAAACATATAAGGAAAACAAACACTTCCTAATCAGCTATGTCTAAAAATATCAAACTATTATCCCTCCTTGCCCTTCTCTCTATTGATTAGACTTCTCTTTCCCTAAAGGCAACTTATCTTCAATCGAAACCAATGGTTCCCAAGTATAGCAAACAAGTTTTCACATATCTGCCAGCCAAGAAAGAATAAATTCAAGGGAGTGAAACATTTATAAGGCCAAATGTCTGCAGTGTGAAAGGAATATCCTTTAGTGTGCGGTCAGGTATTTTTTTCTTTTCTGGTGTTCAAATGATCTTTCTTTTCTGAAATGATTCTGATGGTACGTGGTGTTTTGTTTTTTCCTCTCACTTGGTGGGATGAGTGTAAAAAGCTGGCACTGACTTCGTTGAAGCCCCAAGTTTCTCTAGTAGTTCAGCAGAGTCCAGAAGACTGAAGAGCCCTGAAGCTGGTCTTTATTTAGTACAGTTTTAGTTCTGAAGAACTTTCGGAAACATAAAGGAACAAATGTAATGAGAAAATGAAGACTGAGTTGAGAACCTGAAACCAACAGTTATATTTTTATTTTAAATATCTTAATCTGTGATTTCTAGAAGCTTAAAAAGCCTCATTTTACTTATAATCTTATGTTAAAATTGTTATAGGTACTTGAAAGCAGTTCAATTCTTTTTTTTTTTTTACTGAAACATATGTTTGTTTCTTGGTGAAAATAATAAAATTATGTTTCTATCATTGGAAAAATGACATTTTCACATGTTACACCCAGATTAAACTGGATAAACTTGATAATAGTATACTATTATTCTAGATAAAAAGACTGTTCTGCGGATGATGATGAATTTCTTTACGATAGGGTCTGTGTATTATTTGTCTCACATTTATTATTAAGCTCTTCCAGTTTTGAGCTGTCCAATATTCTACTCGTATCTTTAAAAAAGAACAATAAAATGGATGCAACCCCTAAACAAGAATATATAATATATACGAGGAAATTCTCCACTTGTACTAAACATGTAACTCAAGATGATCATTTTGCCTTGTCAACCAGGACAAATTACCACCTAGTGTGTTCCTGCAATGTTTTTCTTTTTCTTTTTCTTTGGATGGAGTTTCACTCTTGCCACCCAGGCTGGAATGCAATGGTGCGATCTTGGCTCACCGCAACCTCTGCCTCCCGGGTGCAAGCGATTCTCCTGCCTCAGCCTCCTGAGTAGCTGGGATTCCAGGCGTGCACCACCACACCCAGCTAATACTGTATTTCTAGTAGAGAAGGGGTTTCTCCATGTTGGTCGGGCTGGTCTTAAACTCCCGACCTCAGGTGATCTGCCTGCCTCAGCCTCCCAAAGTGCTAGGATTACAGGCGTGAGGAGCCACTGCGCCCGGCCCTTGCAGTGTTTTTCTATAGCCTTGCCTTCAGAACGTTGTAAAAGCCACTGTGGCAATCGCGCAACGTACCGTTTGCATCAGAGCTGAATCGGGTCCAGGCTCTCTCCCAGCTCTCTGAACTGCACACGTTCTGTTAGGATCGTGGTGTTTTGTCTGTTCCCTCCATGTCTCCCCTGACTAACAAAGCACAGGCAGAGAGCAGGCACCCACGAAGCTATCTGACTCTATTAATTCCATGTATCCATTAAAATGTGTTTAAGAATGTAATCCATGTGGAATGTTTTTGGCAGTAAGGTATAAAGCAGTGTTCTTTAATCCCTCTTCACATGAATGAACTCAATTTCCCAACTGATTTTTCTCAAATAATTTTTTTCTCCAATGGTCTGAAATACCTTCTTTACTACACTAAAATGTCCTGTATGCTGAGATGTGTGACTTAATACTGTTTCACTGTTTGTCTATTATTCCCCAAGAATCTTAGTTGCCAAATTTATATATTTTGATATCTAACAACGCTGTTCTAGCTCATCAATCTGTCTTTTAAAAAAATTATTAGCTCTTCATACCTCCTTAGATAAACTTCAGAGTTAACCTGTAAAATCCCAAATGCACAGCCTATACTACTCCTTTGGGTGTTAGAAACTACATTAAATTTATATAAGCTAAGTGGACATTTTTATTCATTCCAGTGTAAAATGTCTATCATGTTATTCAAGCCTTTTATTCCATCAGAAAAAAAAAAATTTTTTATCAGTGGTACATTCCTTGTTTGGCTTATTTTAATATAAATATAAAATTGTAATATACATGTATGGATTTATATAATATACATAACATATGTACACATACATGCACACACATATATTTTGTTTTCATGTGTTATTGGCAAGGATTGGCTCAAGTGTGATGACAAATGAACCTAGTTTTCTTTATGATTTTACTCTCTAAAACAAGGTGTTTTTAGTATTTGACACATAGTTTTTACTGTGACAAGGAAATTTCACTCCAGTTCTAATGTCTGTCGTTACTAAGAATGGCTGTTAAATTTTATTAAATATCTTTTTAGTAAAAACTGAGATGCTCATATAATTTTTTTCAGTCATTTCATACTTTAAATTTCTTTCCATGTTTGCTATTTTTACAGGAAGTAATTTCAATTATATTTTCAGTTCTAATTGCATAAAGTTGTATACAGCAATTTTGTAATTTTGAAATGATTTCTATTTATATGGGTACTCCTCTCTGTGTATCTACAGAAAACCACTGTCCCAGTTCAAGCAGTCAGGCAGAGACAGAGAGAGAGAAAGCCCACGCAAGAGAGAGAGACCGTGCCTGTGTGCACACGCAATTCACTTTACTGAGTCCACTGATGCAAACGCTCAGCTCATCTGGAAATACCTCACAGACACACCCAGAAATAATGTTTAACCAGATAACCTGAGCATCCCTTAGCCCAGTCAAGTTGACACATAAATTAACCATCACACCTGGGTAATGTGACATTCAATAACCTAGTTCAATAATCTTTCAGATTCCATTAAACATGCAGGGCATCCTAAAATTGTAGATGAACATTTCCGAGAGGATTCCCTTCACTCACAGAATGAGTTTACTCAGTTGGAAAGGTAGAAAAAAAGCATCAAATTGTGAGGTCATTTGGTAAATGATGAAGTGGTCTTTATTATAAAGGACAGCCTTTGAGTTCTACTCATATAGGTATATACGCACACAGGGCATGGACCCATATAGGCAACTACTACCCACTGCTAATACACTGTCTGACAGTCAGTTCAATCTTCATTTATTTAATATGAGATTTGAGTTTACAGATTTCAAGTGTTTATGGCCAAATGGGATAACTGAGCAAGAGTTACATGATAGGATGCCTATTCATGTAACAAATGATGAGTATAACTCACTATGATGTGTGTGTGTGTGTGTGTGTGTGTGTATACATCTCCTGTCGCTCCCCACCTGTACACTTGAAACTTGAATGAGGTAAGATTACAGTTCAGGGGATAACACAGTCACTTGTATTACGTTTAAGGTGGCAGTTACTGATAATGCAGACATGCTGGTATCTACAACCCATCATTGACTCATAACATTAATGTAGTAGGCCCAGCACTTTGGAAACAAAATGGAATAAAAATGCCCACAGTGTGGTGCCTGTGGTCGCCGTAGATTTTGCTTTTGTTTCTGTTAGATGTATACATGTGGCGGGTCACTGCTATAAGCTAAAAATAAAATCCTGGCCGGGCCATGGTGGCTCACACCTGTAATCCCAGCACTTTGGGAGGCCAAGGCGGGCAGATCACCTGAGATTGGGAGTTCAAGACCTGCCTGGCCAACATGGGGAAAGCCTGTCTCTACTAAAAAATATAAAAATTAGCTGGGCATGATGGCAGGTGCCTTGAGTAGCCCAGCTACTCAAGAGGTTGAGACGGGAGAATCGCTTGAATCCAGGAGACGATGGTTGCAGTGAGAGAAGATAGCGCCACTGCACTCCAGCCTGGGCGGCTGAGCAAGACTCCGTCTCAGAAAAAAAAAAAAAATCCTAAGGCCCCAGCAAGAGAACGAACCCCCCTTGGCCAAGGAGGCCCTAGGAAAACCTTAACAATGGAATTTCCAGCCACAATGGGAAGAAAGGTGAGTCGTCCCTCATTATGCCCACTCCTTGCTGAAGTTTAAGCTCAAGCGACCACTGTTCCTGTTAAAAGAGGTGATAAGGCTGACCACACCGTCTGAGGCAGTTAAGAAACCAAATTACAAACAAGACCTAAGGCCACACCTGGCAAGAGACAGCCATGTCCCAGGCCATCAGTCTTGCTACACAGCATCCTCAACTTAGACATTCCCTTCTGCTGACTCCAGCACTTACAGCCCTACTCCTTCAACCAACTGCAAATAAAGAATCTCTGAATCCACCTAGAATCTGTAAGCCCCCACCACTTCAAGTTTCACGCCTTTCTGGCCAAACCAATGTGTAACTTCCATGTACTGACTGATGTCTTTGCCTGTAACTCCCCCCGCTTAAAAAGTATAAAACCAAACCGTGATCCGAGCGCCCGGGGCGCACTTTCTCAGGACTCCTGGAGGGTGGGTTGGCTTCCTGGCCTGCAGTCACCCATATCAGCTCAGAATCAACTTCTTTAAAATACGTTACAGAGTTTGGTTTTTCTGTTAACATTGTTTATAAGATATTTCTTATTGTGGTTGAGGAAAAGTCTGAAAGCCACTGCCCTAGCCTGTGGCTCTTGCCTGTAATCCCAGCTAACTGGGAGGCTGAGGTGGGAGGTTCACTTGAGCCCAGGAATTTCAGGCCAGCCTGGGCAATATAACAAAACCCTGTATAAAAATGTATAAAAATAAAAAACAACGTACACAGTTTGTTCTTAACACATACCTCCCTACCACCCCCGCAAAAAATAAAAACGCAGTTTTCCTTATCAGTTTCTTCCTAGATAATTGAGATCTTCTGAGATCATCTTAAAAGCCCCAAAGGAAAGACCGCATTTGTAATACACAAGCTAAAATATCAGTCATGCTTCTGTTCTTCTTGCTCTCTTAGATGGTATTGTTTAAACACACAATAGAGGTTTAGAGAAGACCAAAGAAATTGGAAGAAAACTTCAACTAGGCTTTGAAAAACTGGCACATTTTAAGCAAGGCAGAGGGAACCAGTAGGAACAGGCAGGACATGCGGGGGCGGGGGTGGTGCGGGCATGAGTGTGCTCAGAAGAGCAGACGTGGGGATCACAGCGGGGTGTGCAGAGTGATGAGGACTCAGGATGAGGGGGCAGCATTCAGGATGAACCAGGGATTTAAAAAAACAGGATTTGTGGGGAGGTAGGATGGCCACAGGGCCACGGACCCAACATCCGGTGGGACAGAGCTATGGATCTGCTTTGTAAAGTTCCATCTCTCTGTGGGAGACACTGAATTAGAAACTGAGGAACCTGTTTGATTAGGTCTCCCTGCCCTGATTGCTCTTGGTCACTTGCTTTTTATTTTTCGTTTCCTTTTTCCATGAAGCTGAAGGCTGCGGTATCTGAACACCTGAGCACTGAACGCTGAGACTTAACTTTCACTGGCTACTTTACAAGATAACACAAGGCACACTGTAATGGTTGCTTCACTTGTTTCCAGCAACCTGGGCCAGTTCTCGTCCAGTGCAATGGTCTCAGACCACCAACACTTTCAGTGGGCCTTTATCTTCAAGAGTTCTTATAAAATGATGTGTGCACGTGAAAAATATTTATATATACAAGGTAAAATGACTATCAAATCTATAATTAAAATTTTGTAAGAGGTGACAAAAAATCACTTCTAAGAGACAACCTACTATGACATATTAGAAATTACTGAGAGTAGCCCAGAGAACAAGACTGACTGTCAGCGACTGAAGATAAAAAACTGGAAAGAATGTAAAGGAAGGATGAAGCAATCGTGCATGGCAGTCCTTTACCAAATTGAGAAGGAACACCCGAGGTGAACATCTCTGAAGATGAGAGACACTGCTCTCAGGAAGGAACAGACTGGCCAAACACACAGTAACTCATCTCCATATTCTAGGAAATGAGTTAATAGTGATAATAAATACAGAATTTCCAGCACCCACTGTGTGCTGTGCCGTTATAAATGCTACAGCTCTTCTCAGGCTTTCATATGACAGCCTCGGGGCTGCTGCTGTTCGCCTGAAGCCACGGGCTGATGGGGCAGGACGGTCCTTTTCGTATGGGGACAAGGAATGGGAATTGTTAAATAAGTCCCCCAAAAGCAAAACTGAAACATAAATAGTGGTTAAGAGGAAGACCAGACGTGGAAGTTAGCTCTGAGGCTCACTGTGATGACCCCACGAGGTACTCAATACAATGGTAGCATGTGGGGGCTTTACTTTTATAGGTGGCTTCCGTTTTCATTACTATGAGATGTGCAGCAGATGTCTTCATTTACGTATAGTCCAGGAGATGGGAAAAATTAAGCTGGTTTCTAGTCTTGTGTCTGAAGAGGTAAGTTTATTTAAACAATTAGCACAAAATGGCCAAACAGAAGTTGCTCTGATTTAACCTAATTTTATGATTTAACTAGAAAAGAAAGTCTAAAAGTATTTTACCGTCTAGGTTGGAAAGTCAATTTAAGTTAAATAGGATTTTTAGCAGCATCTCAACCATTTTTAAAAGGCCCTCAAAGTGAAATAAGTCTCAAAGTTTTATCACCTCTGTTAGCCTTCCTGACCCCAAGTGAATCACCCACACAGAAACTGTATCTGGAGAATTCATGATCTCTACCTACCTTTTTTTCAAAGAATTTTTTTCTTAACTTGGCGTCTGTGGGAGGTACTGTTTCCCTCAGGTTTCTGAACCACTTTCTGACAACGTAGCCTCTCCAGTAGGCTTGGATTCTAAAACACAGATATTTAAAAATGACTAATTTATGATGACTCTGAACCAACTACTATACTTCAGTAGCTGTTAGAAGCCCTGTGCTATATAAGGCCTTGGGGAAATTATAGTGGCCAAGAAGAGAGATAAAATCCCACTATTTAAAAAACAAGTTAGGCTGGGCACGGTGGCTCAAGCCTGTAATCCCAGCACTTTGGGAGGCCGAGATGGGCGGATCACGAGGTCAGGAGATCGAGACCATCCTGGTGAAACCCCGTCTCTACTAAAAAATACAAAAAACTGGCCGGGCAAGGTGGCGGTGCCTGCAGTCCCAGCTACTTGGGAGGCTGAGGCAGGAGAATGGTGTAAACCCGGGAGGCGGAGCTTGCAGTGAGCTGAGATCCGACCACTGCACTTCAGCCTGGGCGACAGAGCGAGACTGTCTCAAAAAAACAAACAAACAAACAAAAAAAACAAGTTAGTTGTCACAGCCTGACCTGTAAGTGTCTGCTTAGCGCCAGATGGGCCTGGCGTCCTCACCTGGTCACACACTTTATCCTGAACAGGCGAGCCCCATCGTGTATCACTCGGGTTTGATACTGGTTCTTTCTACAGAGAGGACACGTTTTCTTGTTTGTGAACTTTTCAAAAGCCTGAAGACATGCCTGAAGAAAAACATTTCATTTAAAATTTTACAATTACTTATAAACAACGTCTTTACTTCCAATGTCAGTGTTCTAATTACAGTGTTCTTTTCTCCCATAACTATGAAACTTAGCCCAATTTAGGTTATCAAGTGAGGAAGTTTCATCAGGTGCTACCACCTTCCTCATGAAACCTGTTCCAAAAGTGATTTCTTACAAGAATATACATGCAAAGACATCAAAAACTTCTGAAATCCACTAGCACAAAGGTGAGCCATGCGTGTCTATGGGACCACATGCAGACCGATCATGTGAATTTAGCTGTCACTGACACGCATTACTGACAACAATCTGTTACATAAACATCTGTGGTTCTTTTGTCACAAAACTCATGATTTTCAAAACAGGATGAATTGTACTGTAGCCTACAGTCATGTTTCTTTAACTATAGATGGTGGTGATGAATAAAATAAATGGCTCTCCTCAGGAGCCTTGAAAATGACTATAGTTTCTCTGCACTGTGAGAGCGATGTGTGGGGCACCTGAGCAGGCGTGAGGGGCGGACTTACTCTGTGGAACACATGGGAGCATGAAAGCAGCACCTGTTCAGGAGGAAACAGAACGACATTGAAGTTTACAAAAGAGAAGCAGCATGAATGCAACAGTTAAACTCCTGAATGCTTAGAAGGTAAGCTGTATTATTTCTTTAAAAATTAAAAAGGCAAATTTATAACTTTGATGTTTATACTATTTATTGTTTGTTTAGCACAGCACAAGTATATACTCTAAACAAGAAAAATGATCTGAAATATCAAATAAACACATGAAGTTTGATATGTAACTATTAAAATGAGTGTATACTTAAGAGCGAAACAATGACAAAATGAGTGTTTCCCTTAGATGCGGGCAAAGACTGCAACCTGGAGGGGTGAGGAGGGGGGCCTGTCCAGTGAGGCCAGGGAAACGCTAAGTAAATACCATTTAGGTCTTTGTTCAGCTCAGTTATGCCCCCCGATTTTTGTGAAATCATAGCCCTACTGAGATATAATTCTGACAGTCTTAAATTTAAATAGCAACACATCATGGAGACATAGGAGTCTTTTTTTTTTTTTTTTAATGCAGGGAGTGTGCTCACAAGAAAACTTCACCTTTCTGTGACCCAAATTCCCCACTGAACAGTGATACTCTGGGCTGTGACAAGACTGAAGCTTAGACCAGATGAAGAAGGCAGTGGGTACTCAGTAGAAGGGACAGAGCCACCAGCCCACCAGCGCCAGGCCCTGCGGGCTGCCACACACAGGCCAGGCTTCCCTTGGGGCGGGGCCGCTTCCAGCAATGGGGAGGAAAGTGGGGGAACTTGTGAGACTAAGTGAAGCGGTGGGGGCAGGCGGAGGGCTCTCCCTTTCTGTCAAGAATCTGACTTGGGTGACTGCAGTCTGGGGCACTCCCGGGTGAGGTTTCAGTCTCAGGGGGCCCAGGATGCCTGCTGTGGGGAAAACTTAACAGTTTTTAAAGTGAATCCCACCTGCCTTCACTCAATGTATGCTTTTCTTCTTAAATGGAAGAAATACAGAAATAAGCAGAACTCAGAAAGTTGTAAAACCTTTTCTTGAAACTTATTGCCAAGAGTAAGTCTGAATTGAATAAACTCAGTAATACGGGTCCTTTTTTATTACTATCGTTCAATAGCAATCTTTTCTCTACTTCATTCATCCTTTATAGAATACTTTTCAGTGTTTCCTCAACATACATTTATCTATATTGAGCAACATTAGACTCCAGTATACTAAAGTGTTATCTTTTTAAATGTCCACAAATATTTCTTATTGGCAAACATTCTCTGGTGTAACAAAAATCAAGGAGTAAGTGGTGGAAAACATACTAAAAATGGCCCAGAAGGTAGGCCTGGATTCCAGCAGGACTCCATACTTTCTAAGCTGGCCTACTGTGAACCATCTGAATTATTTTTTATTTCCTCATCTGCTAAGTGGGCAGAATGCCTACTATATGAAATTAATTGAAGGCCCTCTGAAATCATTAAATGTTGTAAACATGCCAACTATTGTTTATAACTAAGGAAAAATCTGAACACAGAAACAACATTAGAAGTGCCAAATATACAGGATAGGTTCTATATCAAAACCAAATAAAAATAATACAATTTAGGGAGAAATTTATAAAAACAGAAAGAAATGTTGGGCAGGGTACACCCTGATGCCCATAAGATACTTTCACTTTTCATTCTTCACACAGACACTCCAGGCTCGATATTTTAGTATAAGAAAGAGGTTGCTTAGCCAGAAAGACACCCTCTGATTTTATTCACAGTTTTGCTACCTAAAGTACTAAATTATCCTAGACAATTTGTGGTTTTAGGGCTAAAATCTGTCCAAAATACCCAACTTTCACATATGTAAGATTAGGTCCTGATAGAGAAATGAAATAAGTATGTCTAAGTAACTTATGAATTCAAATTAGTGAAGAGAAGTGTAACTGTTGTGAGCTTTCTGCAGATGAAACTTACTCAAATTCAGCGAAGACTCAGAGTTCATTTGCCCAGACTGTAATAAGCCTGAGTTCCCAGGCTACGAACTCCAAGGCTGATTTTAACTGTATTTGCTGTATTTTCTCAGCAAACCTCTGAGGGCCTGCTATGCAGGAAGCGTCATGCCACACTCCGTGGGAAATCATTACAGGGTAATCGCGCGTGTGCGCGCACATACATACACACACTTCTGATAAATCTAAGTGTCCCCAACTTCAAGAGACTGTTTTTTTAGTTAGGCAGACAAAATATGTATAGAAAAAACCCTACATGCATTCTTTGTGTGTGTGTGTGTGTGTGTGTGTGTGTGTGTGTGTATTATCTGTTAACCCAGAGTAGTATCATCAATCTTACTATGGTAAAGTTTCATGAGTAGAAATCATTAAAAGATTTTACTTTTCTTAAAGATTTTCTCATAAATTCTTTGGAGACATTCAAGCACAGTTTTTTTTTTTTCTTTTCTTTTCTGACTCAAATCACAAAACAACGTAAGAGTTCCTCTGCTTCCATCCTTCCCGCACTGGGACACAGCCGCTCCCAGGAAGCCCCCGTTGTCCGCACAGCCACGGGGGGCCTGTTGGACAGAAACATTCCTTTCGTACAAACGTTAGTCCTTGAGAATACCCGTCAGCAAACAAACAAAACTATTTAATGAGGGTGTTTAGCTCTTCCCACACTTTCATTAATGGAAAAGAAAATGGAAGTGTGTGAGGCTCACACAAGAGGATGAAACTGGGAAAAGGAAGCCTGGAATCTTGGGCTCCAGCTCTGGGCCTCATCCCTAGGGAACAGCCCAGGCGCTCGCTAGCTCACCCTCATACGCTAAACACCTGAGGTCGAAGCTCGAATTCTTCTTTACAGATGGGGCACGGCTGCACCGAGTCCCCTTGCAGGAGGGAGCGCTGTTTCACCTTCTCCCATTCATCAGATGACAGAGGAGGTGGTGGAGGCCCAATGAGGCCCAACTTCTGTGCTAAAGGAAGACAGCAGACAGCACAGGACAGCAGTTAGAATGTCTTTTAGCATATGGCACCCACCTATAATTTTAATGACACCATTTGCAAACAAGTATTAAAGAACTATATATAGATCACATACTTTATTTCATAATAGAAGCTGTCCCTTGGTATCCACAAGGAAAGCGTTCCAGGCCGTCTCAAGGATGCTCAAGCCCCTGACAGAAGATGGTGGAACATTTGCATACAACCCATGCACATCCTCCTGTACACTGCCAATCATCTCCATCACCGATAATTCCTAATGCAAGTGCTATGTAAACAGTTGTTATACTGTATTGTTTTTCATTTGTATTATTTTTATTGTCCTATTGTTATTTTTTATTCCTTTGTTAAAATTTTGATTTGTGGCTGGTTGAATCTGTGAATGCCAAGCCCACAGATACAAATGGCGGACTGTACAGAGGATGCTGTTTTCCTACGAGGGCACAGAAGTCAGTGGTAATAATACCTTACGTTGTCAATACATTTGTTTTTTATTTACAAAGAATTTCCCATACCTTATTTCATTTCCCAATAATTCAATAAGACAAGCAAGAATGATATCCCATTTTATGAAAGAAAAACTGAGGAATACTAATTGTTCATACGTATTGGCCCAAGGTTCTGCCAGTTCTCACCTGCCTCAGCCCTCAGCACTGCCTCTCCCAGTTCACCTTGCTCTGCCACTAGTGGCCTCTACATCAATCCTGCACCTCCCCTGCTAAAACCTTCCTGTGACGTTATCATCATGGTCAGAATAAAGTTCTTATTTCAATAACACATGGGTACCCAGCGTGTGCTGACTGGCATCGAGCTGGCAGTGCGGTGGGAAACACTTGCCTTGAAAAGCAACCACAATATCCTCAGGCAAAATGCAGGAAGTGAAGTGTCACCTTTTACCACCTCCCCGCACCCCAAAGAAGGGTCAATGCATACAAAGGCATCGACCTACAAGGATATCTTCAGAAATAGAAGACAAAATGTTACATTAACAAAACGACAGGAAGCTATGAAGGGACACTTTGAGTACAGAAAGAGCTCTTGGGTTTTTAGTAGAAATGTGAACGTCCACTGAAAGGCTGGAAGAGAAAGCTAAGATACAGTCTGGAGTTGCTTAACAACAGGCGATTGTTAAGAAATGTGCCGTTAGGTGATTTGGTCGTCTTGCTAACATCACAGCGTATGTACACATGCTTAGCTGGTACAGCCCACCACACATCAAAGCTACACGGTACAGCTGATTAGACTGCACACCTGCACAGCATGTTACTGTTTTGAATACCGCAGGTAACTGTAACACAATGGTAAGGATCTGTGCATCCAAACACAGCAAAGGTACAGTAAAAATATGTATAAAAGGTTAAAAATGGTGCATGTGTAGAGCACTCACCATAAATGGAGCTTGCAGGCCTGGAAGTTGCTCTGGGTGAGTCAGTGAGTGAGTGATGTGTGAGTGTGAAGGCCTAGGACATGACCATACACCACTGTAGACTTCATAAACAGTCTATACTTACACTAAATTTATAAAAATGTATTTTCTTCAATAATAAAGTTAGCTTACTATAACTTTTTTACTCTCTAAACTTTTAAATTTTTTAACTTTTTGACTCTTTTGCATAACATTTAGCTTAAAACACTATGTTGTCCAGGCTAGCACGTAGTGATGTGGTCACAGCTCACTGCAGCCTGTAGCTCCTGGGCTCAAGCGATCCTCCCACCTCAGTCTCCTGAGGAGCTGGGACCAAAGGCACACACTACCATGCTCACCTAATTTTTTAGTTTATACAAAATATTTTCTTTCTTTATATCCTTATTCTATAAGCTTTTCCTATTTTTCAATTTTTTTTTTTTTTTTTTTTGAGACAGAGTCTCCCTCTGTTGCCCAGGCTAGAGTGCAGTGGCTGGATCTCGGCTCACTGCAAGCTCCGCCTCCCGGGTTTATGCCATTCTCCTGCCTCAGCCTCCTGAGTAGCTGGGACTACAGGCACCCACCACCTCCCCCGGCTAATTTTTTGTATTTTTTTTAGTAGAGACGGGGTTTCACCATGTTAGCCAGGATGGTCTTGATCTCCTGACCTCGTGATCCTCCCGTCTTGGCCTCCCAAAGTGCTGGGATTACAGGCTTGAGCCACCGCACCCAGCCTCAAATTTTTTTTTTTAACTTTTTTGTTAAAAACAAAGACACAAACACACATATTAGCCTAGACCTACACAGGGTCAGAGTTATCAAGATGTCACAAAGTGGCAGAAATTTTTCAACTCCATTATAATTTTATGGGACCACTGTAGTTTGTTGCTGACTGAAACATTGCTATATGGCACGTGACTGTAATCTCACAGAAAAACATATATCAGGAGACAGAAAATAAGAAAATCAAGGGACCGGTCTAGGTGGTGTTGTGACATCTGAAAAACTAGCATTCTAGAAAGAAAACATGGAAAATGGGAAGTAAAAATTTTAAAGAAAATAGTCCAAAACCTCTCCCAGAAGCCAAGGACATGAGCTTCTGGTCTGAGAGGCCCAGCAAGTACCCAGAACACCGAGTCCCATTACTGGGAGAATCCTGGAGACAGAAAGCAGACTCAAAAAAAACCGGCCTCAAAAAAGGATCAGGAATCAGAACTGCATCAGACTCATCCACAGCACTACAGACAGGAGAAGACAATTCCTTCAAAATTCAGAGGCAGGAAAGATTTCCATATCAAGATTCCTTATCAGCTACAATCAAATGTGAGAAAAGAACAAAGACATTGCTACGCACGTGAGCTTCTGTCTGGGTCTCCTCCGCACTCCCCCAGCGAGCTACTGACAGAGGAGCTTCGCCACTGCGAGGGAAGAAACCACGGAGGAGGCCGCCATGACGTCCAGGCAGAGAGAATCCAAGGAGACAGCCTAGGGTCCCAGGATGCTGCTCAAGAGGGAGCCCGGAGAGGGGCCAGGGGAGAGAACCACAGAGGATTCCAGAAGCAACGTCCTCATCCATAAAGTACCCTGGTATATTTTAATGTATTGAGAGAATGTATTTCTGGAGATTTTAAGGATGAATCAGTGATGAGTGATGATAGAGGAAACTAAAACATGTGAAAAAATAAGACATAACTTCAGGGAAAATAGAAAAATGTCTGAGAAGGAAATTGTAATACAGAACACCACATTGCTCAGCTGTGAGTGAAGTCACGGAATTGTAACAGAGTAAACACTGAATGTATATTAGTCTAACCACAAGTTATGAAAACATTATGCTAAATCTTGATCTTCTACAGTAAGAAGAGATATCCAGAACTGAAAATTAACAAAACAGCAGTGCAGACACGTTATTTAGAAATATTAAAAATAGGGCCGGGCATGGTAGCCCACACCTGTAATCCCAGCACTTTGGGAGGCTGAGGTGGGCAGATCACCTGAAGTCAGGAGTTCGAGACCAGCCTGGCCAACATGGTGAAACCCTGTCTCTACTAAAAATACAAAAATTAGCCAGGTGTGGTGGTGCACACCTGTAATCCCAGATACTCGGGAGGCTGAGGTATGAGAATCACTTGAACCTGGGAGGTGGAGGTTGCAGTGAGCCGAGATCGCGCCACTGCACTCCAGTCTGGGTGACAAAGCAAGACTCTGTCTCAAAAAAAAAAAAAAAAAAAAAAAAAAAATTAAAAATAATACCAGAAGAATGAAACAAAGGATTTGAAAATGACTGCTTTAGAGTAATGCCCAAAAAAGGTCAGGGGACTGCTACACTTTCTGTTATAATCCTCATAGAACTATTTTACTTCTGAAACTATGCCCATGGAGCTTCTGGTAAGAATCAAGCAGCTACAAGTGTGATGACCGCCATGGAGAATGGTGTGCAGGGCTTGGATGAGGAGCTGTGACCCCAGAGAAGGTTACCTGACCAAAGTGGCATTAAATGGAGACCCACAGGGTGAAGAGTAACAGCAGTGGGTGAAGGGGGAGGTTTTCTAGATGGAGGAAAAGGATGTGCGATGGCCATTAGTGAGAGAGCACTTGGCCTGCAGAGAAACAAAGGAAACAGTAAGACTGAAGAGGCTGAGACTGAGGTTGCAGAGGTGGGGTGCTGCCTCAGGCCAGCTCTTTGCCTTTGGCTCAAGGTGTGGGAGCGGGAAGAGACAGGGCCCCCAGCGCCACTCCTCCTCTTCAGGGAGAGACGGGGCCCCCGGCGCCACTGCTCCTCTTAGACCTGGGTGGGCGCTTGCTGCACACTCCAGACTCTGCTATGGTCAATGCCAACTGCTTCAACTTCAAGCATCCACATCTCCCCATCATGCAAACTTGGCCTTATATTTATAAACTAATCAAGACCTTAGAACGGGAGGGAAGGTAAATAATTGTATTGACAGATTTCAGCAAACTGCTGTGTTCTCTGGCCACAACGCAATAATATTGAAAATCAGTAGCACATCCAGCACTCATCTTGCCTGCAGAACCACACTGCGCATCAGTGGAAATGGGCTCAGCCTCACAGAGGTCGACTGATGGATCTAAGCACGTCATGGAAGTCTTGCTACCCTTTGCCAATTTTTAGACTATCAATGGGCATGTGGCCATCTCAGGTGAAGCGGAAGGAAGGTCTGTTGGGAGCTTTCTCCCCTGCCTTTCCAGCTCGTCCCTTGTTGTTGAGGACTGACCCTGGGGCTGTGCACCCTCTTGTGTCCACGCACAGGGCAGCAGCACCTGACGGCAGCACCGGAAAGAGGCCGGTCCCGGCAAACATCAATAAGCCACCAAACCAGAACTGCTGTGAACAATGACACACACCGTTATGGCTGACATCACTTTCAGTGTGTTGTTCGTATACTTGCAGCCAAACGCATCCTAATCCATCACCTCTCCTCACCCCACTTAAAGGAACAAAAGGGCCTCAGGCCCAGATGGTTTTACAATCGAGTTACCCCAAACTTTTAAGGAACATATCACCCCTATTTTCTGTTATTCCAGAATACTGAACAAGAGGGAACACTGCCCAACTTATTTGGTGAAGCTTATATGGCTTTGATAATAAAACCAGACAAGGACAATCATAGTCCAGGGTAATCCATGGTTAAACGTCAAACATCCTGAATGAGAATTAGTTATCAGAATGCAACAGTGAATTTGAAAAACACCATGGGCAAGTAGGGTTTATTCAAGCTATGCACGAAGATTCAATATCAGAGTCTGTCACTGTAATTTATAGCACAAACGAACTCAAGGAGAAAACCCACAACAAACATGTTCATCTAAAAAGTTGCAAGAAAAAAGCATCTAAAAAAGTACACCTATTAATGAGTTTAAAAACGTCTAGCAACTTGCTAAAAGGGAAATCCTATAATTAGATCAAGGCCAACAAACACCACAAAACAGAACAATAAACAAAGGGCAAACATCACATAAGTAGGGAAATGAAATGTATTAGGTTCAGGAACAAGACAAAAATGCTAGGTATTACTACGTGTATTCACCACAGCTCAGGCGATCCTGTCCAGATTAAAAACAAAGTGGGGGAAAAGAAGAAGGGGCATAAAAGTAGAAAGGCACAGACAATAAGAATCACTGCAGAGACCAACTGACTTACTCAGAAAACCCCTAGGAGTCGGAGACAAAAAGATCTAAATGGTGTGAAATGCCACCATATTTGTGGATCAGATGACAACATCGTAAATACGGTATTTCCCCCATCTACAAATCCAATTCGTAAAACATCTCCAGCAGAATTTTATGTAGAAAATGAGGCAGCTTTAGAGGGAAAAAAAGAGGAAAGGTCTTTTCCTAGCAGCTATTAAGACATATAACAAGACTCTATTAATCAAAACAGTGCAATACTGACATAGAAGCAGCAGCCTTGGAAGGAGAGAACAGAACACGTTTTAACCTCATTTAACCACGATTTTCCCAGTATCATAAGCAAAACAAACTGTGGCGACATCTAAATGTGAAATGTAAAAGGTTAAAGAAAATGTGGAAAAATCCTTGCACTCTCAGAATGGTGAAGAGTATCTTAAGTCTCCCCTAAACAGCAATAAAGTGAAAAACAAAAACAACAAGAAAACAATGGATTTAACATTAATCAGAATGAAAATTGTATTCAATATAAAACGACAGATGTAATTTAAAAGATGGTAGAAGAACAGAAGATATTTTCACTGGATAAATCAACAAGAGATTACTATGTAGAATATGCAAAGAACTCCAGTAAATCAGCAAGAAAAGACAGCAATCCAAGCGGAATATTACATACAGATAGTAAAGAGCATATGGTTCAATGTCATTAGTAACTAATATGCACAATCAAGATTTTTTCCATAAAGAGGTCCTGAAGAAAGGTCTCATGTATTTTCCTTAATAACTTTACTTATTTTCCAAATTGGGACATTTCTCTTTATGTCTAATTTAAATTTTTCCTGATTAAGATTGATTATGATGAAACTATTTGGTCATCTACATAAACCACACAGGCACAACAGAAGATCTTCACTAAACTGCTGTATGACATTATTCCAAGTGTCAACATGTTCATGAGCCACACCGTTTTCTAGAAGACAACGAGCTTGTTAGCAGAAGTTCAGAGGAAGACAACATCGAACATCTCCCCTGGCACTGCTGTGGGAAGACGTCCCCTCCACCTCGTGCGACTCCAACACAACGGGCCTTCCAGCACCTCCAGATCCATCTGATCTGCGCTAGGACACGTGGTCTTCAACCAAACCTATTTTCTACGCCCACCATTTAAAAATCATATTTCTAACTTTTCAGTTTAAAATAATTTCAGATTTACAAAAGGTTGTAAAAACAGTATGAAGAATTCTCAACAAAGGACTAGTATCCAGAATCTATGAGGAACTCAAACAAATCAGCAAGAAAAAAAACCTCTAGCAACTTGCTAAAAGGGAAATCCTATAATTAGATAAAGGCCAACAAACAACACAAAGGATGTGTCTACCCAAAGGAAAAGAAGTCATTGTATGAAAAAGACACATGCATACGTATGTTTATTGCAGCCCAATTCACAACTGCAAAGATATGGAACCAACCTAAGTGCCCATGAACCAATGAGTAGATAAAGAAAATATGGTATATATACACCATAGAACACTACTCAGCCATAAAAATGAATGAAAAAATGTCTTTTGCAGCAGCTCGGATGGAGCTGGAGGTCATTATTGCAAGTGAAGTAACTCATGTTGTATGTTCTCACTTATACGTGGAAGCTAACGTATGGGTATGCAAAGGCATACAGAATGGTATAATGAACATTGGAGACTCAGAAGGCAGAGGGTGGCAGGGGTGTGGGATAAAAAAAACTGCACGTTAGGTACAATGTACACTACTCTGGTGGTGGGTGCACTAAAATCTCAGAATTCACCACTATATAACTCATCCATGTAACCAAAAACCACTTGTACCACAAAAGCTATTGAAATAAAAATAAATAAAAAAGAAGAAACACACACAAAAAGCAAACAAACAAAAAAATCAAAAAACAGGCCAGGCGTGGTGGCTCACACCTGTAATCCCAACACTTTGGGAGGCTGAGGCAGGTGGATCACCAGAGGTCAGGAGTTTGAGACCAGCCTGGCCAACATGGCAAAACCCCGTCTCTACTAAAAATACAAAAATTAGCTGGGTGTGGTGGCACACACCTGTAATTCCAGCTACTTGGAGGTTGAAGCACGAGAATCGCTTGAACCCAGAAGGCAGGGGTTGCAGTGGGCCGAGATTGTGCCACTGCACTCCAGCCTGGGCAACAGAGCAAGACTCCATCTCAATAAAACAAAACAAAATGAAATTTCAACATAAGCTTTGGAGGGGACAAACATTCAAACCATAGCCCAGCCACTGTGAGCTGTCAAAAGACCTCTGGCACCTATCAACACAGTAATATATGTGAGTAGTGGATAAGGAACAACGTATGAAAAGTACTCAGCTTGATGTTGTGAAAAAGTCTTCCAGACAACAAATGTAAGTGAAGGATTCTGTTCTCATTGATGCCAAATCTAAATGGAAGTTCTCCCCTATCAGGGGCATACTTGATGCACTGGGTTGAATAGCGTCATCTCAAAATTCTTATTCACCTGGAACCTCAGGATGTTGACATTATTTGGAAATAGAGTCTTCGCAGATGTAGTTAAGATGAGGTCATACTGGTTTAAAGTTGGCCCTACATCCAATGAATGGTATCCTTGTAAGAAGAGGAAAGGGAGGGTACAATCACACGTAGAGAAGAAGATTGTGTGAAGTCAGAGACAGAGACTGGAGTGACGCTGCCACAAGCTAAGCAATGCCAGGAACCACCAGGGAAAGGTAAGTTAGGATTTTCCCATAGAATCCTGCCAATGGTGCCGCGTTAGACTTCTGGCCTCCAGGACACTGAGAGAAACTTAACCCACCCAGTTTGTACTAATTTGTTGTGGCAGCACTGGGAAACTAATATACTTAAAAACAGCATTTACAATTATAAATGCATAATACATCTCCTTTCTTTTATCAATTAGAAGAAATGGAATTGATCTGCATGCCTTTACTTACAGGCACAAACTTGTAGCAATACTACACACAGTAAGAATGTGTGTCAAGTTGCATGCTATATGCATCCCACCTATCGTAAGGAAAGAATTTCAATCAGCCATGACGGAGGTAAGGCTGACTTATTTCTATAGAGAATGACATTACAGAATTACTGTCACATGAAAATACGATCAAAGAGTATCCAGCAATCAAAAGAGATGGAAAAAGTATTATAGAGATATTTCAGGAAGCTAATTAATACAAAACATTATTGCTATTTTTATTGATTTTTGTTTAGGATATATTTCATGTTTTTTGAAATTCCTAATTTGTTGCAAGTTTGGTCTTATTCTAAATAAATATTCACACTTGTAAAAAGAAAATATTATCATATGTTCCTAAACCCAAATGTTAACCTTTTACATAACCCTAGTACAAAGATCAAAACCACGAAATTAATGTTGCTATAATCTATCAATAATCTATCAATTAGCCTACATGCCTTCTGCAGGTCTGGTTCTCTGTCACACTCATGTCTTTTTTCGGAACTAGGATCTGATCCAGGATCACAGACTGCACTTGCAGCTATGTCCTGAGTCTCCTATAATCTGGAACAGTTTCTAGGTCTTCAATTGCTTCTGTTGACTTGACACTTCTGAAGAGTACTAGCAAGGAACTGTGTGGAATGTCTTTCACTTGGGTTGGTCTGAGGTTTCCTCATGATTATATTCAAATATGCATTTTGGTAAGAATGCCACAGAAGTGATGTTGCACCTTTCAGCAGGAGACATGTGAGGCTGGCCCGTGCGTTACTGCTGACCTAACTAGGATTACTTGGTGCAGGCGCTGCCTGCCAAGTGTTACGACTGTACAGCTGAAGTAACTGTGAAGTTACTGTTTTTCTCCCTGCCATGTACTTGCATCTCTGGAGAAACTACCTCAATATTCTGTGTCTGCACATAATTTTTCTCATTCCTAATTTCAGTAATGATGATCATGACTGTGGTGTTTGCCAAAGGTGATTTTCTATCCCCTGTCTACTATCTCTATGAGTTATATTCATTCTACTATAAGGGATTTTTCTTTTCCACCATTTATTTACTCATTTATTTTTATCAATGTGAATCAACAGGTATTTCTTTTGTTCTCCCATTTTTACTTATTATCCTACTTGCCATTACTACCTTTACCTTCTTGCTCTAAAGGTCCCCTATCATTTTTAAACTTCAATACATACACACCTTCAATACACACATACCTCTCTGTATAATTATAAATAAATAATTTCTGTAACATAAAAAATACTATTAATCTCAATAGATTTTTTAGCCCTAATAAGCCAAAAGATGAATGACTACATCAGCTTACCCAAAGTCAATGGTGGCGGTTTGGGATCAAGAACATATTCTTTTTCTGAATCTTCTAGTTTGGGGCACTGCATAGTTTTTTTAAGTCCAGTATCTATTATTGCCTTTGTATCTCTTTTTAGAGATTTGTTCTCTTTCTTTTGTACTTGTGTCTTAGAATGATCTGCAACTGAAAGATTTCGAAGTTGAAGATCACATAAAATGTGATCTTGTAAAGCAACTGCATTGACTGCCAAGTTATCTTTCTTAGATGAGTGACCCTAAAAAGTAGGAAAAAAGTCATATTTAGATGAATATTATGTAATATATCATTTAAAAGAGAACTGAGGCTTCAATACTCAACCTTGATGGCACATACAAACAAATCAAATAGTAAGGAACGCTTGACTCATTGTTTACCTAAGCAGGAGCAGACCCTCGTCTCAGCATTTATGTTAACAATACAGGAATATCTTTTCATTTAATTACTAAAGCCTTAATTATAATATGAATAAATTCATTATGACCTATAAACCTGTGCATGCCTAAACAAACCCATGCTGCTTCACTGTAATTAAATTAGACTCCAGGCAAGTACTAAGGAGACTCTTGCCATTTCAGCTTGTGCCTTTTTGTGAAAACTTGGCAATTTCCTGTGCAGAATAAAAATCATCGAACAGCTAAGAGATGCCTGCAGTAAATATCACCAGAGATTGTTTTTCCATCGGCCTATCCACTGCCCCATGCCACACTTGGCATTGCCCATTCCTGCTGACAATTCCTAGTTGAAGCAGGGTTTGTAAACTAGTTTTTATACTCTCAAATGGCTGAATTAAAATACATTTCATGAGTCAAATAATATGTATGTTTAACAAAAGAATAGTGTACCTTATTTTTTAACATGCCGAATCAGGAAAAGTTGTTGCCTGGCTATCACAAATTCTATCATCACATCACATCACCTTCCTTCTGTTCTTCGGCTGCAAAGACATGGTCAACAGAAAGTCAAAGCTATAGTGCACAGAAAAACCTATGCAGTTTGTGAGGACGATCTGTAAGAGTCTAACAGATCATGAAGCGGCAGGAATGTCTGCTACAGGGTGGCACTAAGTTACACATTCTGGTTCCGGAGGAAGGGGGTGAACTCAAGTCAATCATGCTTCGACTCATCCCTGTCCTCAAACAGTTCAGCCCTGAGCTCCTGAGGACACATTAATACAAATGGTAAATTACTAGGAATTAATCCATTGCTAAATATAACATGATACACAAGTACTACAAAATTTCAGGCTAACACTGGAGACTTGTAACGGAAAAACTAGTTAAACTGGCATTTGAAAGATACATAGAGGGAAATGAACATGGCACACTCCAGGTAGGAGGAAAGAACCGGCAGGCTGGAAATCAGCATGATATGCTTATTTTGGGGAGAAAGGGAACAATGAAGAAACTGGAACGCAAGAGGAACACTGCCTAACTTCAGTCTCTCCAGAACACAGAAGTACAGAATATGGGGACAGACCAACTTGAATTCCAACTGAATTCCACCACTTTGCTGCGCAAGATACTGAACACAGCTGAGCCTCATGATCCTCATCTATAAAGCAGGTATAACAATGCTGGCTTTGCAGGGTTGCCGCAAGGATTAATGAGACCTTTGAAGTATCTAAAGTAGGTCTTTTCACACAGAACTTACTGTTGTTATTCTTGCTTCAATTCCCTTCAAAGCTGGTGGAATAGTTTGGAATTGGCCCTTCTAGATTTTGGACATGGTGTATTTTATGAAGACAGATGTATTCAAAATATACTGTGATGAGGAGAAATAGAAAGTTATTCAAGTAATCTAGGAACTGGCACAGGAGGCCCTCGAACACATTTCTTCTAACATTGTTTCCTTGTAACGTTGATGAGAAAAGAAATTGATCCCCAGCAGGGGCCACTGTCTGTGTGGAGTTTGCATGTTCTCCCCACGTGCTGTGGGTTTCCTCCAGGCACCCCGGGTTCCTCCCACATCCCAAGGCTGTGCACGTGAGGCTCACTGGTGTGTCCCCATCTGAGTGACTGTGAGTTTGAGTGTGCCCTGCCATGGGATGCTGTCCTCTCCAGGGCTGTTGCCCGCCTTGGTCCTGAGGTGCCTGGATGGGCTCAGTCCCCTGCCACCCTGAACTGGAATAAGGAGGTTGGAAAATGGAGGGATACAAATTATTGTAAAATAAAAATTTGTAAAGCACACGGTAATCACACAGAGATGCAGGACAATACCCGATGCAGTAGGAAAGGCCCAGCGGGCTGAGAATGGGCTGTTGTTTTGAAACTACATGGTAGGGGGAGGCGCTTCAGAGCTTTGGCTTGGCCAACATTACCTTCGATTTAACGCAGCCCCTCCATGACCTGGTCACTCATGGATTCACCAGAAATTGGGTAATGATCTTTCTTAAATGTATGTAGAGCTTATATGTATTTCAGCGTTTCATATTAGAAGTGCTTCGGTCTTTATTTAGAAGTTTGGTGATGTTTTTGTGACCAGGAATGTGCTGTGGGAACTTACCTCTTATTTATATCAATTAACCTATGGTGAAACTGGTTTCCTTGTACACTGCATGGCTTAAAGCTCCAGTTTCTAAGAACCTATGGATGATGTTAAGTAAGGACTTACTGTATTGAGGGCCTAACTGTAAAAATAGAAAGAAATTAATCCAAAAGAAATTAATCCAATATAATCTAAGGACTAACACTTGTATTAAATTACTCCAACCGAAAGAACAAACTCACTAAGGCGTGAGTGCAGAGACAGAAAAGCACAGTGGAACCAAATCTCTGATATCCAGGGTTAGGAGTAAAAACGTCAGTCGCTGCTCAAGTCCTGCAGAGGCTTTGATGATGGTTCTTACTACAACCCTTCCCTGTTCCCGTTCAATTCTGGCATCAAGAGATGTTTGAAAGAAGTTCCACCCATATCTCATCAAGACAACTGAACTTGGAGAAATTGTGGAAAGAATTTAAAATCCTGAAAGATCACTGCCAGAATTTTCTCAGTTCCTGTTTCCAAAAACCCTATAAGCTGCAGAACATAGTGTGCATCACACTAAAAACGGTCGCGTGGTATCTGCAGTGCGCAGTTTAATCTCAAGTTTCTACACGGTAGGCCACTGTCACTAATGTCAAGGTAAGGAGCTTTTGAAACCTGTACTCTTTCAAAGTCCTACGGTATCATTAAGTTTTAGAGTTTAAAATTTAGAATTTAAAGGTATTGAAAACGCTTCAATTATCTAGTCCAGCTCCACTTTATAAATGAGAAAACCAAACACTGGGTGAGTCCTTCAATACATAATGAGCCTGTGGCACTGGCAGGGTTAGAAGCGTAACCTTGGCCAGTATTGAAAGCTAAGATGAACAGGAACACGTTGCTTTGTAAATCCCAGTATTAGACGCTCAGGAGGCAGAGCTTGGTGGCAAAAACGACCGTTGGGGTGCCAACGCAAGTGATTTCAGCTAATTAAACACGCTCAAGAAAAGTACACGAGACCAAGCCTAGGACGGAAAGATGCAATTCTAGCAGGGTCTTGGTGTTTTATCTCCTGCCTTCTGAACCCCCGCTGACCGTTTTCTGAGATCCTACTCATGCCGGAGGCGCGCGGCGACGAGGCTCCAGTTCCCCTGAAAGCCGACACCACCCTGCGCCTGGGGCCCCTGATGACAGCGGGTCCTACCGGGTTCTGAAATTACCGACGTGGGATCACTGTTCTAAGGTTTGAGGCCGCCGTATATTCGTACCCTCAGGAAGAGCTGTGGAAACCAACCAGGACCCCGAGTCCCCCGAGGACGTTGCGCGCCGCTACGGGACCCGACCTCGCCTCACAGCTGCGGCCATCGCCGGCCCGGCTCGGAGGAGGCCAAAGCGAGTCCACGGACCCCCTGGCGGGCCGCCCTTCTTTCCGCCCCGGCCCCAAAGCCTCTCCGTGCCTCGACTCCGCCGGGAACACCGGAACCCAGGGATGTCTGCCCCGGTTCCCTCTGGCAACTCCCCGGCCGCCTGCCCGCCGTTGCCGTAGCAACGCCCGCCTCCGCGCTCGCTCCAGTCGCGCTTGCTTGCCAGCCCCGCCCTGCCCCATACTGCGCATGCTCGCTAGCCCCGCCCGGCCCACACTGCGCATGCTTGCCGGCCACGCCCGGTCCACACCACATTGCGCATGCTCACCGGCTTCCGCCCCGCGCCCGTCGTCAGCGTCGAGACGCAGGTGCGTGCCAGTCGAGGCTCGCTTTGCGGGCGTGTTTGGGGATTGCCTGGCAGGGTATTTGGGAGCCGTGGGCTGACGCGCAAGGGCGTGCATCCGCCGAGGCCTCGTGCAGTGACTCGTGTAGTGAGGGCCGAGCCCCGTGCCGGATTCGCTGTAGCCCGCAGCCGCTGGCGGCTTTGTGGGTGCAGCCACGCTCCTCAGCCGCCCGCCCACCTGGGCCTGGGACGCGGTCGTTTCCCTGCGTGTCTGTGGTGGTTCCTTTCCAGGGTCTCGAGCGCACCGCCCCTTCGCTGCGCTTTTAGTCGAGGGCAGTTTTCTGGGGCATTCCCCGGTCCCCCCGTGCCTCTCGGGCGTCCTGGCCCGCGGAAGCGCGGGCGCCGACTGCCTGGCGTCGCCCGTGACACCTGGCCCCTCTCTGTGGATCCCTGTGCTTCTCGCTGCGGGTTGTGTTTCCTGCTTCGTGGGCCTGGCCGTTTGCGTTGGATGCAGGCCCTGGTGATCCTTGCGTGGCCCGCTGGCCTTTTCCTGCTCCCGAGGTGACTGAGCCGCGTGTGACACATCGCAGTGACTTGAGGCAACGCGTTCCTTTCCAGGCTTGCAGCAGGCGGTGCTGTTCACGCTCCTGAGCGGAGCCTTCCGGTGCTTTACTCGACGCCCCAAATAGTGCGCTGTTCCTCCCAGGGACTGCCGCGAGCTGGAACTCTTCCCCCGCCCTGTGAGCTCGGGGCTGTACTTTCTCCGGTTGTCTCACTCCAGCCTCGATGTTTCCTCGCTGCCTAAACCTGCTCGGGAACACTCGAGAAGGCCGCTCCAGGACTCCCGCTCTCCATGGAAGGGCTTCCCCTCGGATTGCGTCTTGGCCCCTGGAACCCTCTGTCCGTATTCTCTGCTGTTACTCTCTTGGCCTCCATTTGGGTTGTGGCCTGGAAACTCCTGGCTCGCTGCTTCCCTTCTCTTAAGGATCACAGCCCTGCACTGCCTGTCGTCCAATGCCTGGAAACCATTGTATTTTTTGGTCTGATTTTGTAGTTGTTTAAGAACTTAAATCTGGTCCCTCACACTCCATGACCAGAAGCAGAAATCAGTAGAAGTTTGTTTTTTCTTAAAATGACAATTACTTTATTGTGTTGGTTCAATTTATGTTGTACTTTAGAAGAAATTTGGCTGAAAGTACAAAGAAAATATACAAATGCAAGTATTTTTTTTTAAAACTTCCCTGAAAGCAAGGTCTGAAGAAATTACCAACCAACTTAGACTGGATCTGGAAGAAAAGGAAGGGTCCTTGCAGTCTTAGGACTCTTCCATTCCGTGACGTAGGTGTTAGGTTAACAGCCATAAATGGTTGTAAGACTTTGGGCTCAGATAAGTAGACTTAAGTTCAAATTTTGACTTATTTTACAAGTATCTGATTTGTGGCAAGCTCATCTTCCTAAACCATGAGCTCCTTATTTGTAAAGGGGACATTAGCCACTCTCCAGCAACAGCACTGGCACTTCTTCAGTCCTGGGATGGGACGTATGACTAGCCTAAGCGAACCAGAAAATCCAAGCCCCTGACCACAGCGACTTAATCAGGGCTGGCGATATGTCTAGGTAGGCCAACCAGGTGGACTCAGTATTTTTGTGGGTGCTACTGGAAAGTTTTCTTCAATTCTAACTGAATGTAGAAATGAGAACAGACATGAAATGGCGGCTGTGTTGCTGTCTTGTCATCATGAGGTGAGGGTCTGAAGCTATGGTAGCCACCCCGTGTACCTTGGAAGGAGGATTCTACAGGAACTGGCAGAACTGAGACTGGGACGCAACCCAGTCCTGGTGACGTATTTAAACCCTGAGGCTGGCCCTCCTGTTAGTCTTTTCACTTACTGGCTTCAGCCAGATGGGGTCTGGTTTTCTGTTACTTGCAACAGGAAGAATTGGAATGATAACTAGGCATGCTATTACCGCCTTATGGCTGTGGTGAGATTAAAACATGATATTGTGGGTGAACTGCTTAGTCCAGTGCCTGCTATTCTTTATATTGGTTTTAAGGTATTTTTCTTGAACTTCATAAAGTTCTAAGAAAAATTACCGTTTTAAAATTCCTACCCTCTGTTCATATATTTTAAATTTTCATGATAGTTTTTCTATCTGCATGTTTTCTATTCAAAATAAATTGGTCATTCTCAGCTACAAATATTTTAAATTTTATATTTTTAAATTTATTGATACATATTAGAAGAACATGTTTTTGGAGTACATGTGATAATTTGATAAATTCATATAATCAAATCAGGGTAATTGAGATATCCATCCCCTTAAATATTTATCGTCTATTTACACTAGGAACATTCAAGTTATTCTAGCTATTTTGAAATGTGCAATTGATTTGTGTTAAGTATAGGCTTGACTGAAAATTTAACCTTATTGCTTTCTAATTCTTGACAGAAACAAAGCTAACGTAGTTGACATTTGAAGAATAATACATTCATTCTTCAAGATAGTGTGTTCTGTTGAAGTGAGTTAGATGATCAGAATGCAACATCTTGGATAGGGTTAATTAAAATATATAGTCAACCTGTCTTGTCCCCAATACCATGTTGTCAGTGATTTATATTTTAACGTTATGCCTTTGGTTTAAAAAGATTTTTTTTGAGATGGGCCTAAGAAACTGCATGTGTACAAAGCATGTTTGCATCTTCAGAAAACTGCTATTGAGTACATTCCCCATGGTGCTGTTCAGTGCCATTTGTGTAACCACCCACATGATTATTTTAGAATTTCAAAATCATTAATTGAAGGTCCTAGGAATAGTGGAGATGGAAGAGAAAATTAGAGGTGCATGATGGTAAGGATGATGAGGTTGTGCTTAGTCATGAGGAGAAGGGCACCAGTGTGCTTGGCTGATTAAGATGCACTTCTGTACTCCACTATGCTTAAGAAGAAAGCTGCATGTGGTAACCGTAAGAGATCTGTTGTATAAACATTGTCACAAAAAGAGTCATGAGCAGCCCAAGATGGATGGCAATATGGACTATTTAAGTGGAAGACATTGATATGAAGGGAAAATCTTATGTTTTACTTGTGTAGAAGGCAATTCAGAGAAAGTGTTCAAATACTAGAATAGGCAGTTGGAGTCCATCTTGTGGAGGTTGGGGTTTTTTTCATGATGACACTAGAGACACATTATTGGAGACTGGTGCTGGCACTGTATGGATTTTTTTTTTTTTTTTTTTTTTTTGAGACAGAGTCTCTCTCTGTCGCCCAGGCTGGAGTGCAGTAGTGCCATCTCGGCTCACTGCAACTTCTGCCTCCTAGGTTCAAGCAATTCTCCTGTCTCAGCCTCCCGAGTAGCTGGGATTACAGGTGCCTGCCACCACGCTTGGCTAATTTTTGTGTTTTTTAGTAGAGATGGGGTTTCGCCATGTTGGCCAGGCTGGTCTTGAACTTCTGACCTCAGGTGATCCTCATGCCTCGGCCTCCCAAAGTGCTGGGATTACAGGCGTGAAGCACTGTGCCCGGCCTATGGATTCTTAACGTATCACACCCACAGGATTTGAGTTTGCCCACCTGCCTAGTCTCTAAATACTGCACTAATGGAAGCCTAGGCAGGGTCAGAATGGTTCTTTCTTCAATATCCTTCTCACGTTTTAATATCTTAATGCTTTCACATTTCTCCTTTGTTATCTACAAAATATTCTCAAAACCTACTCAGTACATATTTGGACTCTTGTCTTTCTTAACACAGTCCTTGACATCTAAAACAAACCTAAGGAGCAGAAATTGGTGGCATGGGTTTCATCGTTAATTTAGCTTTCAATTTTAACCTTCACCAAAACCACGTCTCCTTCCATTTATTTTTCTTAATCTTCAGTATTACCTTTAACTTTCTACTCACACTTGTATATTTATTACCAATTTCTATTACTAAACTTGCTGATGTGGTTTGGCTGTGTCCCCACCCAAATCTCACCTTGAAATGTAGTAATTAATCCGCATGTGTCAAGGGCAGGGGCAGGAGGAGAAAATTGAATCATGGGGGCAATTTCCCCCATACTGTTCTTGTTTTAGTGAATAAGTCCCACAAGATCTGATGGTTTTATAAATTGGAGTGGCCCTGCACAAGCTCTGTCTTGCCTGCTGCCATGTAAGACCTGTCTTGCTTCCCACTCGCTTTCCACCATGATTTTGAGGCCTCCCAGCCATGTGGAACTGTGAATCAATTAAACCTCTTTCCTTTACAAATTACGCAGTCCTGGGTATGTCTTTATTAACAGCATGAGAACAAACTAATACACTTGCTTCCACCCAGATTATTTTTTCAAAGAATTCTAAGTCGCTTCCGGTTTTTTTTTTTTTTTTTTTTTTTCTGTATGTGAGGACCAGCAATTGTTTGGAAATTTGCCAGTCTCTCCTAGTGTTTTGTAGCAGCAGTTGCTGTAAAGGCTCAGGTATACTAGTGGGAACTTACTGAAGTGTGTTTTTTTCCTTGAGATTATATTATAGTTCTGTTTTGTCCTTAATAATGAAAAAGGGCTTAGGATGAGTTGTTTCCACTCCTCTGACAAAGTGCATTTAAAAAAAATACTGTGACAGACATAAGATGATTACGTCATTCCTGTCAACATTAAAATAGTAGTAGAGAAACACTGATGAAAACACTTCTGACACTGGAGAAGAGAGGCGAAATCTTGTTTTCATTCTTACTCTATAATTTAAAGTCATGGGTATAACAAATGAGCCTTTAAAAACTGTTTTCTGAATTTAAAAAATGGAGCAAATTCATTCTTTGTTGTTGAATTCAATATACTTAGAAGTAATTTATCACTTTGGTAAAGAATAATGTCCTGTGCCTTAATATCTGACATGATGAAGATATTCATGCTGTCTACGCTGTGATCACCAGATACTAGCCACTTTAAAAATGTTGCCAAAAGAAATTGGGCATACTGATTGTGTCAAAGGTGTTTGGGTAATGTGGACTCCTTTCAGACATTTGTGATTTTTCTGCCTTAACTGAAAGTTTTGACAGGTTTGTAAAAGCATAAATGTCAGGTTATTAGTAGAAACTCTAAAATAACCTAGGAAATAAACATATATACTGGTTTCAACCGGTTTGGCTAAAGCTGGATGTCTCTAAAAATTGAATCAGTTGATGCTCTAATATGTTCAATATATCAAAAGACAGGGTGTTTCCTGATCACATCTAGATAATCTTAATAGGTTTATTTTCTCAATAAATTTTACAGATAAATTAAAAATACAGAGAGCTCCCTCTCCTTGCAACAGTTTCCCCTATTTGCCATTTGTATGCTATGTTTGTTAAAATTGATGTACAATAAGGTTGCCCATGTTTAATGTTGACTATGAAACTCTCCACAAATAAAAGTATACCCCACAAGTACACAGGAGAGGCCCCTCTGCAGTTTTATTCATAGTGGCACAAGCAAAGGAACTATTGAGAGATGAGTCTCATGATAGCAGAAAAGTATTGATCCATGAGCTGTCCACATCTAGGATGCTGTCTGCTTTTGGGGAGAAACTTTCATGGTTAGCTTTACCTTAAGGTCTCCAACAGGTGTATAGATTGAAGAGTCTGGAGGGGCCTGTTTCAGCTGTGAGATTGTAAACCCAAGGCTCAGGGTCCTGAAGTTTTGCTGCAGTGTAAGTGGCAGGGGCAGTCTTTCCCTGATGATATTTCCAGAAGACTCAGTTTCTAGGCTTTAGATAATGTAGGGTTTGATTGTCCTCAGTAGACCATGGAAAGCTTTCTTTACCTGGTGAAAATAACACTTGGGCATAATGCCTCAAAGCCTTGCAGCACTTAGTCATATTGGAGCTTAGGAGGAGGAGATGTGTGAGGTTTTATTATTAGGAGCATAGGCCTTCAGTGACTATTGTATAAGGGATCAACTTACGTTTTCCACGTGGAAGTGGATCTGTCATCAATCCACAGTACTTTAGACCAAGGAAATCCAGTCAATTCAGTTAGCTTATCCTAATGTGATTGTACCTATGATACCTTATCTCATTGTTTTACAACTTGTCTGGTGAAACAAGTACCTCTATCACTAGCAATCTTTCCAGGTATGTCCCATGAGAGAAACATGTTTCCTAATAACCTTTTATCTACTGTTACAGCACGAGACTTTTTGAATGGAAAAACTTCTATACAATCAGAAAACATGCATTGAAAATGGCAATGGAATGAAATCCCTCTAAAAATGTTTCAGTGGCCTATCATGTAGCAGAAATGTACATGAAGTTTTGATTGCCTTCCCAGGATTATAGATTTGACAAACCAAACATCGGTCATAAACCATTTTAGCAATTTAGAACATTAACCATGCCAATATTCTATTTGGATCATCTTATCTCTTCCATGATGGGCCGTGGAGTGTAGAGCTTTTAATAACAGAAGCTTTAAGGATTCAGAAAGGACCAGGCATCTGTCCAGGCTCTCCATGAGTCCATCTTTAACATTAGATTTATATCTTCTTTTTTTCATTTCAAGTTTTAAAGCTTGTATGTAAGATTACTTTATTCCTGCATCTTCTCAGTTGTTTCTTCCTTGTATTTGCCCTTTTCTTTTTCTACTTGGCAAGATTTGGCTT